GGTATTCATTGATCTGTTTTCCTAATTTACGTACATATTATTGCTACTGTTTAAAATTTCTAGACAAAACAATTGAAAGATCCCATATTGATTAACTTTCTGACATTTCTATCAAATTGGATCACCCATGAGAAAGAAATCGAGCATGGCTATTCTTAACCAAATCATCAGTACACAATAGGCAATAAAAGACAAACTTTGGTCATTTAAAACTCCTAAGAAATACTTTCCAAACCTGTATGTGAAGGCATTACACATGCCAGATGGATATATGAGCAGATTTCTTTTTACATACCAATCTTTGATTTTGCATGATCTAGTATATGAATAAAACTCCAGGTAACTTTTGGGGCTCTGGTGCAGTATCTTGTGGGTTTTTTTCCTAAATTTGGACAAAGAGAGTATTTTTAGCAACTCCATCTTTTAACCATCCAACTGTTTTTCCTTTCCTTCGCTTGTTTCTGTGTAGATGAGGTGGGGTGTGTCGATCCAGCAGTGTGTCAGGAAGTTTGTGGAGCTTCAGTTGGTTGCTCCAATATTGCCTATCCTAAATTAGTGGTGGAGCTAATGCCGATGGGTGAGATTCACACGCACGCACGCACGCACACACACAAAGGTCATAAACCCAGCTTCCTCCAGAAAAATGAATGGAGCTGTGGACAAACTTCAGAAATTAACTAGAAAATTCTCTCTTGGAAATTTTGAAAGGGCCACAGGGTTACTGCCAAGGTGTGTACATTATGATGAGATTCTTTAGAGATTTCATCCAAAAATGATTCCTCTAAAAGAAGAATAAGAAAAAATTCACAGTATAACAATAATGCTTTGGTGCATCTGCCCCATGGCCCTACTAAATAAATACTTAAAAAAATAATGTGAGTTGTAGATGTGCTTCTTATCTCAAGGCTATTAGTATTATTATTTAAATCTCTTAAGAATCTCATCATAATGTACACACCCCGGCAGTAACCCTGTGGTCCTTTTAAAACTTCCCAAAAGGAATTTATGACTTTTTTATTCTTATTCAATTTTTCTTTTTTGTGCATTTCCCACACATGAGTTGATAACTTTCCTTTCAATCAAAACTTTAAGACCCAAATACTAGACTGTAAAAATAATTAAAAAAAAAGATTTAAATCTTTAGTGATCATCATCATTTCTAAACATACTATCCCTCTGAAAATTGTGTTTTTACAGGTCTTCGTGGTTTAATGCTTGCAGTAATGTTAGCAGCTCTGATGTCGTCACTGACCTCCATCTTTAACAGCAGCTCAACTCTGTTTACTCTGGATCTGTACCATAAAGCAAGACCCAAAGCTTCAGAAAGAGAACTCATGATTGTTGGAAGGTAGGCAGAGGGAATTCTGCTACATAAATATGCCAGTACAGATCCATCAAAATCCTGTACCAAGATATGATTGTTCATGGATACTTACAGCGCAACAGTTGGGCTGGATTTTTAAATCCTGGGAAAAACTGTGCATAATTTTGTGGTGCTTTAGTGAAGTATAAAAAAATATCATTACCCTCCTTTCTAGCTAATCATCCAGCTGTGTTGAATATTTGATTCTGATTGGTCAAAACCCCTTGATGACCCTTGACAATGGTTATTAACCCCACAAGAACAATGCCAGAGACAACCAGGAAAGTTTGGCTATATTTTACTTCTGGTTGTTGACAACGAGGTAAACCCATTAGTGTCTGTTAGCATGCTTAACATGTTGAGTGGTTGTGCTTTAACATTAATGATATCTGTCTGTAATTTGTGGAGCCCCTTTTTTACTCTTTTTTTTTTCTTTCTTTTTTGCACATTTGGCTTGAGTCTCAAGTCAAAGGTAATATTTGTAGTATTTCAAATCTTTGCCCATAAAGCTGAAACCCCTCAAAGCCATCCAAGGTACTGCATTTGTAAAGCTTGGTACCAAGTGAGGACTTTTGGTTCTAATTTCAGACCGGTTATTGAGCCCTCTGGATACAGAGTTATTGCAATGCTTATTTACTAACAGTTGAAGAGGCTTAAGGATTTGGTTTCCTCTGAAGAATGAGGTTTTAAGGCATCAAATCAACATTCCTCTATATTTACTTTTCTTTTTCCTTTCCTGCTTTGGTAAAAATACATGTTTTTATTGACAAGGTTGCAAACAATTGCCAGCAGACCATGGCCTACAAGATGTCCGAGTAATTCAAAACAGCTAAACTAGAATTTTGGCCCAGCTCAGCAGTAAGAGACAACATTGTCAGCCTCCAAGCACTCTTTATAACACTTTGTCATTTAATATTAAAGTTTAGGATGTGAATTGATTATTAAAACATCAGTTTAAATGACTGACATATCACATATCATCATGACTGGAGTGTCATGGCGAGGCAAGCGAGTGATTGAGTAAAAGGAAAACTCTGGGCTTAAGAAAATAAAAAATTATATTAAACCAATTTTCATTTTAAGCAGTTTCTAAAGTTCAAAATCTTTAAGTTTCCTGTTTTCATGGGGAGCCCCACCTGAAGCATGTATGTGTAACCACTAATCTCCTATTTAGTCACCATTTGTAGTATATTTAAATACAGATTCCACAAAACTGAACCGATTCTTTGGCCTCGACCAAAACTAAAATTGCGGTATAATGTTTCCTAACAGGGTGTTTATCCTGGTTTTGGTGTGTGTCAGTCTGTTGTGGATTCCTGTCATCCAAACAGCCAACAGTGGACAGCTCGTTGATTACATCCAATCAGTGACCAGCTTTCTAGCTCCTCCAATCACAGCAGTATTCCTAATGGCTATCTTCTGGCCACGTGCAAACGAGCAGGTATGTGTCACACACTCAACACTTTTTAAAGGCAAGTGCTGAATTACATATACCACTCTTCCACTATATTATACATTATATATATTATATTATATATTTTTAGGGGAGGGGGGACAAGTTTTACTCACATTTATCTTATTGCTTTACCTGTTGTAGTCAATAATGTGTGTGTGTGTGTGTGTGTGTGTGTGTTATCTCAGGGGGCTTTCTGGGGTCTGATGTCTGGACTAGTGGTTGGACTTGTCCGCATGGTTCTTGAATTCTCTTACCCTCCTCCTTCCTGCGGTCAGAGGGATCAACGTCCTGCTGTCCTGGCTGATGTCCACTATCTGTACTTCGCCCTCATCCTGTTGGCTGTCACCTGCCTCATCATTGTTGCCATTAGCTTGGCTACAGCCCCGATACCTGAAGAAAACGTGAGAACATGTCATAAGATTGGTTTGTTGGTATTCCAAGTTTAAATGAAAGTAAACACTAACTCGTTTTTATCCTGCTGATATCAACATTGATCTCATCATGTCAAAGCTAGCCCAAGTTTCACAAAAATACTGATTTATATTTACTGAATTTCTTCCTGTTTTGTCTAGCTGTACAGACTAACCTGGTGGTCCAGGTATAGCCAGGAACCACGGATCGACCTCACAGGTACTCAGGTGACCTCTGATGCAGTGAACCCTTATTCTGGCTCTGATTCTGGACATTTGCCAAATTCCTCAAGGTGGTCCAGAGCTTTGCTTTGGGTCTGCTGTCTGACTGATGGGAGCAGAGGCTCTGTGTCTCCAGGGACTGAGAACATGGAACTAAACTCCCTAAAGGAGGAACCTTTTTGGAGCAATGTCTGCAATATGAACGCTCTGATACTAATGGCTGTCAATATCTTTCTCTGGGGATACTTTGCCTGATATGCAGGTTCCAGAAATGATCTACGATCTGTCATGAGAAAGTCTAGACTTGTGCACGAGGCTGGAGTTTGGTCTCTTGTTAAACATTTTAAGTTGTGTAAAAAACTTTGTCCAGTGCTTGAACGGAGAAGCTGCTCTACTCTGATCTGTGTGCTGTTCCTGAGGTGTGTAAAAGCTCAAGTCCTACCTGCAGTAGCGAGAGGCTTTTGGAGGGGGACTGCTGCCCTGTTGCCTCTCATTTATGGGGTTCTTGTGTTCTGGTTGTGTTGTGTCATGGTTGCCTTGTTCATTCATTCTTTAGTTGGTCTTTGTTAATTATTGAATTCTTTGTGTGTTTACTAAAAATCCCATGACCAAGTTTTGATAGTGTTTTCTGTGTGGAGACACCATAATATGTTTTTAGAGAAAATAAAAGATGGGACGTTATTATGAATACAAATGTTCTATTACTGAGAAGGTCAGGAACATTTGGAAACTAAATAAACACATTAAAGGTCCTGAAGTTTATTAAACAAACTGAGATTTATGTTGATTCCTTTTTACAGTACACAAATGCAAATAAGACCATCAACCACAGGAAAGACTATCTTTAGACTGTAATTTTGCAGTGCAAGGCTTTGGAGTTCATAGGAATACTGTGGTGAATATTCTGTATTTTACTTTAACATTTAATTTTCAGATGGGACACTGCTTCTTTGCTGTTGTTAATGTTACAGCTAACCTTTGTGTCTGTCTTCTCCTCTTCCATCTTTCTCTGTGGTCAAGAACTTCCTGCCTCATCAGTCTCTGCTGTTCACTCAGAGCCAGTATCATCCTCAGCTGGTATGGCTGGTAAATTAACATCAGCAGTCTTTGTATGTGGTTGGTCCAGCGTAGAACAGATTTTTTTCTATATTCTGATTTTCAGATGGGACGCTCTGCTTGGATGCTCACTTGGAGGAGTCACGTCTAAATTCTACTTCACATCAGACAGACCAGTCATCTTCCAAACTACGCTAAAAACAACTCACTGAAAGAGTTTTTCCTCCAGGTAAACTGATGGTATTAAATTTTACTGTTATTTCTTAATAAAAGCTTAATTAACATTGTTTTACTACATACAAAGAGCTTTTGATCTAAAAGTGTCATCAATGAGAAATCTCTAAGAACCTCTGAATAAGCAAATATTAAAGCCTGAATGAACTCTTCCCTTAAATAGACCTAAAACTTAAGTTCATTTTCCATCTTTAATTTGAGAGAACAGTCTGAAGTGAACAGCCCAAACAAATTTCACAACAAATAACCACCAGCTGTATCAGTTTTGTATATGTAAAACATTTATTGTGTACAAAAAGCTGCTCCACAGTAAAACAAATGAAAACTGACCTCCCACCCGCCCACCCACTCAAAACGGTGGCTAAAACTTGAACTGTAACAGTTGTACCTGCAATGTATCAGGACTTTTCAGGCTGTTGTTTCACAGTCCCCAGGAGAAAAGGTTAAACACAAAGTCCTGATATCATCGCATACTGGTATGTAACAAAAGGCAAATGTCCATATTTGGTTAAAAAGAAGTCAACCCTTCTGGATTTCCCATAAAAGTAGACTAATAAGTAAGACTAGCATTTCAAGGAATATGTCAGTGTTTTTGAAGTAGAGTTGTTTGAGTAACATGTCACTTATACATGCAATAGCTACAATGGATGCCGACCAACTACGCCTTAAAAATAAAAAAACCCTGTAACCTAGCTGTCTGTTCCTCATCAACTTCTCGTGAAAAAGGGCAGAACTGACCTGCATCCGTTGTGGCTAGCACACTTATAAATAACGTGATGAATACAACCCCGATTAAAATCCCCTTTTAACCTTTTTCTTAGTTTAAAAGGTTCGTAAAAATCATTAAATTATTTGCTGATTCTGTATTCCTTGAGGAGGTCGGATTAAAGGTTGATCCAATCCTGGAGGGGCAGAAATTCCACAATAGTATTTCTGTTCCTAAGAGTAGTCAGATCGGTTTATAAAAGTCACAGATAGTCCGACCCCCCTCAATATCAAAATTTGTACTTTTAATCTACAGTCTTCAGTAACATTTAATCCCAGAGCCTTCTATTGAGGACAGCAACTCCCAATGTTATCATCCAAGAAATCCTACAGAAAAATAATGAATATAGTATTTCATGTTGACAAATTGATTACATTGACAAAAGTCTAAAGACAAACATCTAGCAGTTATAGAAGAGCCTAAAAGAACAGCATGAAGACGCACAAGAAAATCAAAGTTCCTCAAATGGCCCACTGAGCTGTGGGCACACTTGTAGAAAACTGAAGATATGGTGGGGGTCGATTTCATCCACTATAATATTTATCATTCATCTATCAAGTGTTGCTTTGGCCGTTCACTGTAATCTAATGTTATATTTCACACTCAAAGACAGACAGCTGCTCTTGTATAAGAGCAGTAAAAAATACACCTGCTGAGAGTCTTCTGCGACTGCAAACAGTAATCTTTAATCTTTGTACGGAGTGATTAAAATAAAGTTACTGAGCCTGACAGATTTATCACGCCTGCAATGAGGTACGCTGATGAAGAAAGGCGAGCTATCCCTGCAAACATGAAGTTCAACCAGCTGGCAGCCTGCTGACTTCACACACGCCCAACGCATGAAGACATTTGCCACGCGTGAATCAAGTTTTGACGCTGTGTTTAAAAACTTTCTCCAGCTTGGAAGGCTTTTTGTGAAGACCTCAGTTTCTGGTGACACGACTATTTGCAGGGGTACAAAAGGCCAATGGAAAAACCTGAGGACTGGGCCAAAGATTTACGTTACACTCACACCAAGTAAGAATAGTAAACATGGGCCAGTCTGCCTCATTAGAAACCAGCCGGAAACTCAGTGACTCCAACATCAGAAATCACACGTACTAACGAACAGTGTGCTACACCCATGAAACTACAAACACACCCACTGTCTCACACAGGAAGTGTGTTCACAGAGTGGTTTTTGCTTTTAATATGATGAAAAACTAATTAGCAGTACAGTTTCAGAAAATCTTGTTGCCAATTACAGTTTCGGTTTTGTTTTTATCTCCCCCTCCATGCAAATCTTCTAACTCAGACAACTTTATGCCCATCTTACAACCCAGTCCTGGTTCATAATGTAAATATCTTGTAAGATTTTAAGCAACAACTTAATTATACGGTATTTTACTGCTTTTACTCGAAATATAACTAGATGTTACTTTTCTTAATTGCCTTTAGCATCTTATTGCAGTTTTTTTCTAAATGATCTAATATTAACTGGCCACTGCTGCTGGCTTTAACAGTAACATTCAGGTTTTTAATACTCTGAAACCCAACGAAACATGAGGTAAGACTCCTTTAAAGATTCAGAGTAATTTTTCTTCCATGATAGTGAGTGCATTACTCTGCAGTCCAAACAAAGGCAGCAAGGAGAACTGATTTCCATTTTTCTTCTTTATAAGTGATATCAGATGTCAAAGGTTCTATTCAATTCAATATAAGTGGAAGAGGATTTGAAATCACTGCTTTGTGTTTTTATTCCCGTTTCCACAACGTCCCAACTTCACAAGGACAGTTTCTCAGGCTTCCACTGAGAGGACAGGACAGTAGATAGAGCAGGAATCTGGGGGGCAAAGTGGGGAGTGGCGTGTAAATAAGGGGCGGCAGGCTGGAATCAAATCCAGGAGGCAAGCTCTAAAAAGCCGAAAACATGGGGCTGGGGCTTAAATGGGAAAGCCAATGCCTCTTGACGTTTTTTTAAGCAGCACAACTTTTTCAGTATTTTCAAAAACTGACTTGAAACGTGGTGCTGCCAAAAAAATGAGCTTATATTTTTCATAAAACAAAGGCTCGATAAGATAAGATAAGAAAGGACAGGAAAGAGGGGAGAGCATTAGTAAAATGTAACTAGAGTCCATGTAATGACCGAGTTTACTCAAAGATTATTTCTGGTGGTCTGACCTATCAAGTCCAACAACTACTATCAAGCTGCGAATCAGTAGTGGATTTGTGCCTCGAACTAGAGGAACCAGTTTTCCAAACACAGTAGCATAAGAACTAGTAACTTTCACAGGTTTTTCCATCAGCCTGTAATTCTAAATTTCCTGACGCTCAAAGTCCGAGACTCTGGATAAGAAGAAAAACAAAGCTGAAGTCTAATCAAGAACTCTCCTTCAGTATTCAACGCTTGGTAGAAAAAAATATATAGAAACACTATACAGATATTCTTGGACTCAAATAGTGTTTAGTAGATTTTTTTGCAGCACGTGACACTTGCATCTACTGTGTACACGGGATGAAATCAGACGACTTGCTACAGAAGAACGAACTGTAGCCGACTAAAGGTAACTGATGTGAACTGCTGCTGAAGTCCATCTGCAATCTCCAAGTTTGACTGTAAATTTAGATCTATCACCTTTGATAGATGATGATGGAAGATGATGAGACGTTAGGGTAAAAAAAAAATTATTTAAACTTGGGGAGGGAGCTACACAGGCTCTTAGTCCAAAAGGTTTGATACTGTCTTGGAGTGTAAAACATCAAATGTTGACTCAATGGACACAATTGTTTCTGAGTCGCTCCATGATAGAAGAATAAAATGATGAAATAGCACGAGTTGAAGGCTTCACATGATGGCACATTCTCTGGAAGACACCTTGCCCTGTAGGAAAAGCAAGACGAAATCCATAAATCAGAGATGACTTCTGAAACCATCTGTACAATCAAAAACACGGAGAATCAACAATGTGTAATTGGTTTGGAGAAAAAAAAGGACACAGTACTAACAAAAGTTTCTGCATGCGTCACAAGGGCAAAAAAAGGCAAGAAAGAAAACAAGTATACTAACCGTTTCTGCCACTTCTTCCTCATCCTCTCCATTTTCTACCTCCACCTGAGTTTTGGTTACACTCCTTCTGGCCACCTCCTGCATGACAGTAAATTAGCACACGTGACTCATGTTGTCTCACAGTTTGAGGCTCAAGTGTTGTTAAATTGGACAAGCATTCAACATTGCAGTTGTGCACCGAATCAAGAAAGAGTCTGGTCAACTGGTTCTGCATGGAAGTAATTACCTCGCCATCAACATCGACTAAAGTGGTGACCATGCTGTTTCCAGTGCCCCAGGAAGCCTGGCTCTTCCACAACAAGTCAGATGGTGGACTGTGGGCCACACCAGCATCAGCGGACCACACCTGTATACATGCAGACAAGGTCAAGACGTTAATTAGGTTAAAAAGGCCTTTTTTCTTTGTGGGTGGTGGGCGAGACTCTTTGGTTTCCCGTATTAGAGAAGAAAGACGGCAACAGCCGTTCCCCGGGGTCTGCAAAATGTTAAGAAGCAACCCCAACTCAAACACATCGACACATCACTCACAAAACTTCCTCATCCTAGAATGAATCGTGACATTTACTCAGAATCTTATGTCAGCTGCTGCTGGTCATTTCCAGTGGCAGGCCTCCACCATTCATAATTAAATGTATAAAAAAGTTTGTTTACATATTCAGACAGTTTTTAGTGTGTGACCCAATATTAATCAAAATAATTGTGATCATATTTTTCTACTATTACGACGTACTTGTCACTAGTCTGACACTTTGGTGTTTCTTACCGTTACTGTCTGTCCGGCCTTGAGTACAAACTTTGGGGAGAACTTGTAGACTATCTCTTCACTGTCGTCCACCAGTCTTTTTAACCTCCAGTTACCTAAAGGCTGGTCCTGCAAAGAGTAAAGAAGCATAAAATACATAAGATTGGTAGAAAGCAGGAGTAATTAATCAACAGCTGAGGTGACTCATGTCTAATTAGGGGTCCGAGTGGGTTTGTGTCTGGCGACTTGTTGAATAGATACTTCAGAGGGAATTTGCATGACAGAAAGACAAACATAACAGCAACTATTACTGAACTAAACACTGCTCAAAAAAATAAAGGGAGCACATTTCATAACTGACCAAATCATCATCACACATAGGTTTTACAAAGAGATCTATTCAATTACCCAGAGACTCGTGTGGACTCACTGCATTGACAAACTTGGAGCGCTTATAATTGATTTTTTTTTCACCTACTGCTGTTCTTCTGAAAAACTTTAGACTATAAATAACTATGTTTCTGTGTTCGTTCAGACTTCCACACCTGCTCAGTGTCATTGGTCAGTGTGACTGCGTTTCCATCCATGTCAGTTGGTGATATGGTCACTGCCCCACTAGCTGTGGCCTCCTCTGAGACCAGCAGCTGCCCTTCTCCTCTTTCGGACACATCCTGAGCCTCAATCTCCACTCTCTTTCTCTTGGACGTACGGGAGGAGGAAGATCCCGTTATCCTCGAAACAGTGACTCGCCCTGAGGGGCTGGGGGTCAGCTTCAGCCTGAAAGAACAACAGTCACCAGCAGTCAGTATTTCTCTACAGCTTTATGACACAGCAGGACCTGACCTTAGTTTCTTCCCAATTTAATAAGAATCTGAGAAAATAGGTGAATAAGTTAATAAAATGATAATGATTCTAGTAGTAAATCCCAGGCCTGCAACAGTGTGCGTTACCTATGCTCTTCTCCCTCCAGCAGTTTCCTGTAAGCGTTTATCTCCATGTCGAGAGCGAGCTTCACGTCCAGTAGTTCCTGGTATTCACTGAGCTGGGCGTTCATCCTGTCTCTCATTTCACTCATGTCTTGTTCCTTTGCTTCCATGGCATGACGATGCTTGTCTCGCTCGGCTGAAAGAATTTCCTCCAGCTCCCTGATGCGATCCTCTGCGGTGGCCAGCTTTAAATACACACAAACACACACAACCATCAGCATAACAGGCCGTTGGTGAGGCTGAGAAGCGGGAGAATTACTGAGGCTTGATGGTCCAAGGACCTGAACGGTAAAAGATGACAAAGACCTAAAGATGGGAGTGTGCAAAGGTGTAATCATACTTTACCTGTGACTGCAGTGTACTCAGTTGATGTCCAAGAGTCTCTATTCTCATGCGGGACTCCTGCAGCTCCTCCCGGGCGGTGCTCATAGCTTTGTCATTTATCTCGGAGGACACCTTTGCATTATCCAACTGGAGGGAGACACGCTACATGTAAGAAAGGGTCCTACTTATGCCCTCCAAATGTCTGCAGCTAAACCAAGTGCATATCAGGTGATGAACTACAAATCTCTGATGAGTAGAATAAGGTGGGCACTTTGGCTGAGTTGTGGACTTCAAAGTTTCTGAACTATTGAGTGACTTTTTCACCTTAGAGCAGTGGTTCTCAAGTCCAGTCCTCGAGGCCCCCTGTCCTGCATGTTTTGGATGTTTCCCTGCTCCAACACACCTGATTCAAATGATCAGCTCGTTATTAAGCCATTACAGAGCTTGATAACGAGCTGATCATTTGAATCAGGTGTGTTGGAGCAGGGAAACATCCAAAACATGCAGGACAGTGGGCCTCGAGGACTGGACTTGAGAACCACTGCCTTAGAGGATTTGTACGAGACTCTGATTGTCACGAGAAAGAAATTAGAGAAAGTATCGTGTCTCACCTTGGCCTGGAAAGTGTGCTCCAGTTCGTCCTTATAAAGAGAAACCTGTTGATCATGCTGCCTCCTTAGGTCCTGTTGAATAACACAAAACTGGTCAATTCTTAATCAAGTCTCTTGTGGTGAAATGAGATTCAAAACTGTGTACTGACAGGTTTGATCACTTGATTTACAACACTTTAAGACCTTTAAAGACTTGCAACACATAAATATAAAAAGAACAGATTTGTATACTAAATTTACAAAAAATTGACAGACAACACCTCGATCAGGTTACAAGGTAAATGTAAGGTGTATTTGATGTGTTCACTTTTATCTGTGTGCTATATGCGTATGTGTTGTGTTTCTTTTGCCCAATGTTGACATGAAATGACCACAGAAACATACCTGCAAGGCTTGGGACAGTTTGAAATCATAGTCCTGTCTAACTCCTGAGTCCACCTCGACTATTCTCTCCTCCTGTCGACGTCGGGATTCACGCATCTCCTGAACAGACAGAGATCAACATTCGTGTCACTCTTGAGTCTTGAACTACAACATGAATAATCGAGTTAGAGTACAATTACTCCCTGTCTGACTTGATTGACATGATCACATCAGATTCTAAAAAACATCATCATCTTTATCATTTTCTTCTGTTTATATAAACACCGTACCTCTTCAAACATGCTCTTTCTGAACTCCAGATCTTCACTCAGTGACTGGCAGCGGTTTTCCAAGTCTACACGCATCAGGGTCTCTGCCTCCAGCTGGCGCTTAGCAACAGCATGGCTGTCCTCTGCCTATAAAAACGGGTTAAACAATTTGATATATGATCACATGCAAACGTTGATAGAAGTAAAGCCTGTTAGCCCATCATAAAGCTGTGGGGACAGAACCTGAAATCATCGACATACTCTTTCAAGATAATAAACAGTCTTTTTAAAAAGTTCAAAGTTTTAGTTTTTTTCCCACTGATCCTGCTAAATGACTATTTTATTGAATATAGGTGGAGAAGGATGATAAAATGACTGTATTCTGTTTTGATTCACATTTTACGGGACGTCCCAGCTTAATTTGATTTGAGGTTTTACATTTTCATTAGATATTAACATTTTACTCTTTTTTTCTCCCCTCCCTTTCACTCAGTGGAAACACCCTGTAATACGCACCTTGGCCAGTAAGCTCTTGACATCGGCCAGCTCAGAGGTCAGAGAGGTATTCTGACCGAGAGCTGTGGAAAGGGCTGCTTCACTTTTGTTCAGCTGGCTTTCCAAACCGCTGGCCCTGGACAGCGCTGCGGCAAGATCGCTCTCCTTCTTCTTGACACTGGAATGTAGAAACAGGAAGAGACGTGAGCAGCTGTTTCTGAAAAATGTCTCTTCAACTTTTACTCTCTCTCTCAGTCTTTCTTTTTTTTTTTTAAATACTTTTTTGTCTTTACCGAAGAGATACAGAGATGAAAAGATAAAAGTCCACCCACTGGAGGGGCATAAGTGAGATTTCCCGCCTTAACAATAATCTGATTTCAAACTATTTGAAATATGTGAGTAAATGACTGATCCTCATAACTCTTTTCAGATGGCACCAGAATTACCAAACACTTAGCCACTGGTGTAGGGGGAAGTTTTTTTTTTAGTGTGCTTGCGCGTGTGTGTGGTTTTGGTTGTGGTGGTGGGGTTTTTTGTTAAGTCATCAAAAAGGGATGTAACTTTCCGTAACCATGGCTACATGTCACAGAAACAATAAACAATTTACCCTCCAAAAAAAAAAAAAAAAAAAAAAAAACAGTTCAGAGGTCTGTCAGAAATCCCGCCACAGAATGAGAAATATTCACCAACATTTTGGCGGCATTTCTTTTCGGTCTTTTCTTTTCATAATAATAAAATACTATATTATTAAAACACACAGTTTTCAACGTTTTAACGGATTGATTGGAGCATATTTACAAACAAGTTCTCATATTTTCACATCCAAGGGATCATATTATTTTTTCATCTTGACAAGGATCATCCCTTTAAGAGGGCGGCCTGATTGGTATGCACTCTGTGTGATTGTTCATGTACTGAGCATATATATGGGAATGTCGGGACCTGATTTAGCAAACGAACTGCTTTATTCAAACTGTCAGAAAACCAGCACCTAACAAACCAAGGCAAGAGTGAGGATTGAGCTAAAGGGCTACCAGCTGAAAAACCTGGACCTCACACAGAGGACAGACTTGTGTGGTGGAGGGTGAAAGCGTGGCACTTTGCATGTGTGAGCCACCTTGCAGCCACTTTCTCAAAGTGACTGCAGCACGCTGGCTGAGTGTGTTTTTTCAGATGCTGGACTTTATAGAGTTAGGTCTTAACTTTGAACAGCATGTTGACGTGTTGATTCCTCTGGGAAAAATGCGTCTTTAGTCAAGTTGGTACAATATAACGTATGTGTGCGGTTCAAACTGATCTAGATCTTACTGCCATGACTTTATGAGTCTATCAGAGTCAATTTTTCTGATGACTACATTTAAATGATTTGATTTTCTAAAATACTGAATATCAACCACAGGTGGTTTTTACTAATACAGATGTCTTCATCATTTCTGCTTATTGACTCAATTCTTTATCAATTCCCCTGTCAACTGGCATCACCAAGGGAACGACAAAGACAAATACTGTGGATGTCTTCAACTAGTTTAAACTGGTTCTGATCCGAAACCAGTTATTGGTTCATACCAAAAGCCTAAAACCCACAGGAAGTGTGTCATGGCCCGTCTAAGCGCTGCATATCAAACAGCAAGTACGTTCCCATTTGAGTCAGTACTGCGTGTTACACAGGAAATGCCAAGATGCCAAGTGTCTCTCTGCCCTGCTCTGCTCAAGCACAAGTCAAGCTGAACCAGCACAGGACCGAGGCATGTCATCCGCTAAATTCAAAAATAAAGCATCCCGACTGTTTATCAGATCGCACCAGTGACAAATACTCCCTGGTTGTGGATTTATCATACACACAGACATGATCCAATGGCCTCTCCCTGATCCTCATCGACAACAACTGGACTTATAGCTGCTAACCCTGTCTGAAGGTTACACCACAGCAAAGTGAAACATCGTTTACTAAACACAGGTGAACCTGCAAAAACCCAAACTGTATCATCATGTTGCTTGTTCACCAAAAGAGTCACAGAATTAAATCAACCACCAGCTGTTCTATGTTGTTTTCTGTATACTGAGCTACACTGCTTCAATCACCAGATTCGATCTGTTCTTTGCTGTGTTAAATCGTGCTGTTTGATTGTTTTCTAAGTGCTTCTTGCAGTCAGAATAGAATTAAAATGTCAATTTCATTGCAAGAATTATTGTAGTGATAACTATGTGGTGTCCCATTACCTGCGTGTTGCTTCTTCCAGCTCGGCCTGAGCTTTACCGAGGTCTATCTGGAGCCTGGCTCGATCTTTTGCGGTTTCATCCAAGACTCGTCGGGCATCAGCTAGCTCTGCCTCGTACAGAGCCTTCAGACCACTCACCTGGAGAAAGAGAATAGCATATGAGTGACTTTCAGATAATGTCAATGAACAGAGGGGAAAAAGGAAAATTCACTGATGGGCTGTTGTGTCATAGATCTGCAATCTTTCTTAAAAGATCTGATGTACTTGGCTTTAATCTAAAGATACTCTACACTGATTTTCATCTGCATCGTTGCTTGGAAAGTAGAGCACTTTGTTTGCATCATGTAGCTTGTATTTCCAAATAACATGGACTTGTAGATCATTAGGTAAGGGAATAACCAGCTCTTGTCCCGGGCTGCAGCTTTCTCTTAAAGCAGTGGTTCTCAAGTCCAGTCCTCGAGGCCCACTGTCCTGCATGTTTTGGATGTTTCCCTGCTCCAACACACCTGATTCAAATGATCAGCTCGTTATCAAGCTCTGTAATGGCTTAATAACGAGCTGATCATTTGAATCAGGTGTGTTGGAGCAGGGACACATCCAAAACATGCAGGACAGTGGGCCTCGAGGACTGGACTTGAGATTGAGAACCACTGCCTTAAACCATCTTTACATCTTGTATTAGCAATGCTTGGCAAATTTTGCTGCTAAATGCAGTGCAAAGTAATATACAGGTGTATATATTCTTATATAATAGAGGTGGCTGTTGTAGCTCCTCATCGTTGGACGTCCTGCTACACAAATGTTTTTTTTCTCCTGTATGTTACTTCTTTGACAGAGCACAAAGTTCAGGGTAAGTGATCTTACACTTCAGGCAGTGTTGGTCTGTGCGTGACCGATTTTCCCCGTTCTCTTACGGAAGCTTTGCAGTAAAATCAAGCTGTGCGGCTTCTTCACAAGACCAGCTCAACGTTACTTGAAGCTCAAGCTATTTATGGGTTTCATTATTTACAGAGACCTGACATCTAGACAGGATAAGCCTCAGTCTCATCTAGTAAAACAAGACCCACTCTCATCCTAACTTAATCCACCATGAACCGAGCGCTTTTCAGTGATTAGCAGATGGCGTGACAAAATTTCCTTTCAACAGGCAGAAACCTTGAGTCGAACTGAATCAAGTTAGACAGTCACCTGCTGCTTCTGTGTTGGAATCTGAATGACTTAACTTTAAACATTATCATTCAAGAGCTTAAGAGATAGAAAACAATATTGTGCCACATGCAGCATTGCCTTCCCATGCGTCCCATTCATTGAATAAAGCGCACCCTCCCTCTCTGTCTTGACAGCAGAGTGTGGGCACAGCCCCTCTCCTCAAACAGCTCGCACTTTTGCTTCATCATAAGCAGATGCAGTGAACAAAGAGGTTACAGCTCCCTCTAAGATTAATGGTGGACAGCTGTGTCTTCAACAGGATGGGCAGCAGCAGTACAAACTATCAGGCAGTCAGGGGTCGAGAGAGGAGAGCAGGGAGAAGATCACAAGTGTGAATGAGTGCTAATGAGCAAACAAGTGAGAGACGTCATTCACATCATAATAAAATACAAATCTACGCCTTGACGTAATACCAAAAGACTGAATGATTTGTTCAAACTGCTGCTTGTGATGAAATGTAAGCAGTAAAAGAGCTCCATGTGGCCAATCATTGACTAAATAAACCTCTTTTTCACAACAGAATTAATCTCTTAACATAATAATGTCTTAAATCTTATGTAATTTTTTTTAAAGCTTTAATATTTTTTCTTGAATGTGGCCCTAATACTCTGTCATAGTAATTTCACAGTGATTGGGCATTGTGAAAGAGTGCACTGTCTGCAGTGTGAAGAGAATTAGGAGAGAGAGAGAGAGAGAAGCGTAACACAGAGCAGTGTTACACGCAGGTGGCTTTTAATGTCCATGTAAGAATTTTTTACTATACTTATTCAAATATCTGAGTATATAAGGGTAAGTGGAGGGGCTCATGGTAGCCATCAGTTCACATAATTTTCTTTGTAACCCATAAACTGGCAGACTGTGGGTCACATTGGCCGGTGAGTGAAACAGTTCATTTCAGACTCTGGACTACAGTCACGCAGGGCTCGACAGTGCGACCGTTTCACTCACATTTGCGGCTAAAATAGATGTGTGCGAACTTTAAAATGTATTTAGGGGCACATGTGTGAATAAAAAAAATTAGCTGAGGCAACAAATGTTTCCTCATGCAAATACTGCGACAAAGTAAGTTTTATGTTAGATATTCGACAGAAATTCACTGTGAATCTACTGGTGTCTTCTCACACTCCATATCCCGGAATAGCAGCATGGCTAAATCTACTCGGCATCCTCGCTGTCAACTTCGGATGTTGAATAAATTACCTGTTGATGTTCTCAAAAAAGGCTGTTTTCTTCAATAGCTTCAGTGTCAGTTGACCAATTGAAAGAAAATTGATTTCAAATAATAGTACTTATGTCGACCAATAAGACAAACATTATTTGATCAATTTTCATTGTGCCCCTCAAGTTCTTTGTGTGCTCCTTACTTTAGTACTTCCTACTAAAAAGTTAGTGTCAAGCCCTGTCATGTCATGTAAACACCCCCATATATCAATAATTGTAATCCAGACCTGAGGGTGATAATGAAAGGAAACAGTCTAAAGTACATCAACAAACTCAAAACCATCCAAAAAATATCGATCCCTTATTCAGTAAAGGGATGGACCACAGTTTAGAGCAAGAAGTGACTGAGCATCACCAGACTAACATGAATGGTGATTACACTTTGTGCATTCAAAAGCACAAAATCGCAAGAATTAAGTGTTTGATTGAATTTCCCACCACTCATCACAGCTGCAGAGTTAGACGCAGACTTTCATACCCAGAACAACATTGTTTGATTCTTGACTTTCCTGACAATTACAACTTGCAAAAGGTTACCAACTCTCTTCTTCATTTACATATCAACCCTGCATCTTCAACATTTATAGGCACTTTGTAGAGAGTTCAAAGCTTTACAGCGTGGTTAAAAAAAGGATCTAGAAAGCAAGCTCATCTATATAATACTCATTACATTGTATGCAGTTATTCATTCTTTCTACCAAGGAAACGGGGCGGATATTTGGAACAACCACCACATTCACCATCTATGAAGTCACATTATATTGAAGCTTAACTTTATATCTTGCCTACACACCCTTTAATTTCAAGAATAATAGCCTTTGTGCTGATGTATTCAGACATAGTAAGAGTAGCGCTACGAACACCGGATGACATTCAATAAATTGGCGCGCACACACACCCGGTCACACTGCATCTGAGTCGGTGTTTACATAACTAAAAACACAAGTTAGTTTGATAGAGGTAGGAGAGAGTGTCTTCCATACATACGGAAAAAAATATAAGTCTGATTTACAAAAAACATAAGTCAGAAGTTTGCTCTTATTGGCCAACTGCCAAAGTACTTCCAGACTAAACTATTTAGGGATAGTTACATAATAAACATACAGGTGTTATTGTTGAACTGAAGTCTAACTCTGAACTGAACGTGTCTGTAATTCTGTGATGAGTTGAGGACCTAAACCTAGGTATTTTCGGCAGAGAATACATGTGCACTTTATTTATTTATTTCTCTCCTCACCTCTCTCGTGGTCACCTCCTCTTTCTCAGACACTTTGACCATCAGCCGGTCATTTTCCAGCTCCAATGACCGCACACGGTCGATGTAGACGGCCAGCCTGTCGTTCAGGTGCTGTAAATCCTGTTTCTCCTGCAGCCTGGAGATCCTGGTGGGGGACAGAGGAGTCGAGGCCGCCGTGCGGACGGCTTCACGGCTCGGTGTCTGAGTCGCCATAACGGTTAAGTTATCACTATTCTGCTGGAGTCACAGGTAAAAAAGCACACTGAGTGACGTGTATTCCGTTTAGCGCAACTAAGGTCACCAAGGTGTGATATAAAGACTAATGTCCGCAGAGTGGTCCACCCTCAAAGTCTCACTCAGGATCAACTCCAACAGTGATTTCAAAATGGAGGACACCGCCGTTTCTACCGCGCCAAAAGCGTGGAGCGCTTCCGGTCTCGCAACGGATGATGGGAAGGTTGGAAACAAAGAATGATTTTTTGTTTTAAACTTTATTTGAAGTTGAAAAATACAAAAACAGATTCAAAAATATGAAGTTATCAGTGTTATTGAACTGAGTTTGCTTATCTCATCCTACTGATTTTTGACAGTCAAATGTATCTATTCATTGTAAATGTTGTGGGTGTAGTATAAATAGCTCTTTGTCTTGGACGGTTGCTAAACAAATTCTGAACAGTTCTTATCTAGAATAACAGATTTATCACACACACTTTAAAACATACATCAGATAGTGAACAGTTACGTGTTGGAAGCCACTTTACAGGTACAAAAGAATGTGAACCCATCACTATAACGAGTAGTAACGCCCTTTGTGTTTGTAACTACGATTAAAAATGTTAACTGGAGTTGGCTATCTTGTTGTCTTATAGACCGATACAAGCATTTATTTATTTATTTTTTTACTCAAAAGATAATATTTTGATTTGACTTAGTACTTATGAAATTGTAAAACTAGATCCACATCTTAGGCATAAATTCTCAAGGGTCTTTTTGAGTCAATGAGCAATTTTTACATCCATAAACACATGAATATAGAAATCTGTGGTGACTTCATATAGTTTAACAATATACTCTGATTTTAAATCAAATCATTTCACAGACAATCCAGTTAAATCAAGGACCCCAGTCAGAGCTCTCTATGAGGCCTGAAATGCTAGTGATGAACAGAAAGCTCACAAACTGACACCAAAGACTGAAATATCCTTGGGTGTGACACCATTTCTATCACACCAGGGAATGAAAAATTACACCAGAGGACTATGGCTCCAAAAGAGCTATTTTTAAAGTAAGTCAAGATTTATTTAATGAATTAGATCAATTAAAACATCCTGCTAATGACACAAGACAAGTTTTCAAAACTCAGATAGACTACAGTAACTCTCCCAGCCCTGTGAGTGCGCTGTTTTAATTTGGTAAGATCGTAAATTGTTTTCCGGGTCAAACCCTCTTATGTATTACGTCACTCACCCAACAGTCTTTCCGGTCTTGCCGCCATCGCAGACAGTAGGTATGCATTGATTGTTGACAACTTTCTTCTAAAATCGACAAGTAATCTCCGCCATCCTTTGACTTTAGTGGAGAAAATGACCGGCTTAGTGATCTCCTGACCCAACTACACATTTGTGTTCGATATTGTGACATTTGGTCAAATAAATTACACAGTCAAGCTCCCCTAAGTAGCACCTATTTGGTCGTAGGCTCAGATACGCTGCGAGAAAAGTCTTTCCTCAACCAGCTCCAATTGCTTATTTTGGCCCCAACCACGAACCCAGTTCGTATTCCGTATAGTTAAAAGTTAACAAAGCTGTAGACTGGCACAAATATTAGTCACCATAGCCATCGGAAAGTGACCGGAGGATGCAAAGATATCGTACTCGCAACCATCAGCATCATGGAGTCCTTCGTTGGTGTTGACACTACATGTTAAATACGATGGTGTTTAATTTGTATTAGAGGGATTATGCGGGCTGTAGTGTAGTGGTGGTACACATCTTGAAGGAATTGTTTCCTACTTACTCCCCCTGCTGTCAAACAAACAAGCTGACGATAAGTAATGATCTGAAGAGGATGTATGTGATTTAAAATTTACTTAATGCAACCAAAAAGTCAAGGAAAAAAGGTCCTTAAGTTTTGTTGTTTGGTTTGCTTCCATGGTAATGATGATCTTTGCCAACATTCAGGTGAAATAAACAATGAACTAGTAGCAGCAGCAGCACCTGTTTAAGGTCTACAACCTGAACTTTAATGTTGATATTTCATACCAACTAAAGCACATACAGTTTTGCAGTTGGTGCATTATCTAGGTTTGACAGAAAGTGTCATGACTCAAAGTATTGTAGTCTAAGTTCATCTTCCTTTAGCTCCTCCTGAGTGGTCCTCCTGCTCTTTGTCTTAACAGATATTTGAAACAAAGCGTCTCATTTCTGTTAATGTGTTTTGCATGCTCACTTCTCTTTGTGTTCCTCCGCAGACATGGCGATTCGCTACCCTATGGCTGTTGGCCTGAGTAAAGGCCACCCAGTCACCAAAAATGTAACTGCTCCCAAACACAGCCGCAGGCGTGGGGTAAGTAAATTCTGTTATTGGATTTGACTAATGGTTGGTGTGGATATTACATTTACTGATAGCTCATCTGAGTTTTTAATTAGAAGCTCCAAAAATGTCTACCAGAGAAAATCCTGACTGTATGCAACTGTATCCAAAAGTTCAATAAAAGTGTTTTAGGGTGGAAAAGAAGCGTAGTTGTCCGTCAACTGATGGATTCCAAAATCTACTAGCCAATCAGTCATGACAGCGATGTGTGTGATCGGATACAGCCCATTACAATTACCAAGGTTTGCAGTGTTCCAGCAGAAGGCTATTGTCAAGAAAAGTATTTTAAGTGTTAAAGAAAATATCGACATGCTCTTTTCTCTGGTTACAAACAGAAAATATAATTGTTTGGGGCCGTCTGATTGAGGTTGGTTAGTGACTTTATTTCAGCCATGCTCACAGGCCTGGAGACTGATGGCTGCAGCTTAACCCTGAACAAGAGTGAAGATGTATGTAAAAGGAGAGTTGTCGTAGTTACAAAGGCTGCTGCCGGAAACCTGCATTTTGTGATCGTGATTACGAGTGCATGTTGGCGTGTAGTGTGTGCCCCCTCTTGAAACAAGCCTGTGATGCAATGATCAACTCATGTTGTAGGTTGACAGCAGATAGATTTTTTAAGTCCCCTCTCTGTATGATGCGCTGCTGTTGTCGGCTGACTTCAAACTTGAAGAGGAGTGAGAGCAGAAGTTCACTTGATGACCAAGGCACTGTGCTCTGTCACTATAAACATTAGCATCATCTTTGACATGAGGAGGCAGAGCTTAGTATATAAAGTCTACATATGATGTCCGTCACAAATCTCTTAAGTTCTACCTCCATTCACATGTCACGGCGACTAGCAGGATGAGTAAATCCAACCGACACAGTAAAAGAATACATGCATGTGGCGGGCGCTTATTTTCAACCCTGATGCTTTTTAATCTCGTAGTGAAGCAGTGACAAAAAATAAACCTTGGGGGCAAAGTCTTGACATGTTTGAACACCAGGTTTTATTTTAAAGGACCTAAAAGTTCCTCGCTCTTTTATCTTTGCGTTTTCACTTGTAAGTGAAAACAAATATCAATGATCCAAATAGAAATGTGCAGTGATCTGTAAGTGTACAGAATAAGGTTGTCGAAATGTTTCTATGCGCATTAAACCAATGGTTCTCAAGTCCAGTCCTTGAGGTCCACTGTCCTGCATGTTTTGGATGTTTCCCTGCTCCAACACACCTGATTCAAATGATCAGCTCGTTATCAAGCTCTGTAATGGCTTAATAACGAGCTGATCATTTGAATCAGGTGTGTTGGAGCAGGGAAACATCCAAAACATGCAGGACAGTGGACCTCAAGGACTGGACTTGGGAACCACTGCCTTAAACGATAGTGTCCCTTTTTTAACATTTGATTGTATTGAAAAGCACTAAAGCTTGTGTTTTAAGTATCACATGTTACATTCATGTTAAATGGGGACAGTGGGCAGTAGAGAGACAATTATATCGCCTGGGTTTCACAGGTTTTAAGTTAGACCCAACCTGCAGACTACTGCACAGTGATCAAAAGGACTACATTAGCATGAAAAATAGGATCTATTATACAGAGTGCTCAATCTGCAAAAGCACACGTCACATTTAACCTTTGGGTTATAAATAATTAAGAGAAAATATTTTATTTTGGTTCCTTTCTGTTGGGAAAATCCTTGTTTTGCTATTGTCAGTGTGTTTGGTGTTGGTCTGTGCTCGCTGACTTTGAGTTTCAACAGATTGTGCAGGCGATTTTTCTCCCTGTTTTGGTTGCTATGGAATCAAAGCAGGTTTTCAGAATCAAATTCTTGTATTGTTTTCCTGCTATCCTGTCAACTCACACACAGAATTTTGTATGAATGTGAGTGAAAGCACAATCCAGTTTTATCTCATTACTCTTGCTTGCATGTCACTAGTCTTTTTTTTTTACTCTTCCAACTGATTGGTTAAAAAATGAAAGCAGACAACATCACAAATAAGCACCTGTAGACTAAATAAGTCAGCAGCAGACCAACACATAACAGCACTCTGCGATACTCTCAGCCAACTCTGAACAGGCAAATAGAATGGAAAGTCAGTGCTACAATTGGGACCTAATGCTACAGTAAAGAGGTTAAATGATGTTCTCCTAAATAATGCTGAAGAGTTTGAGATTCTCACATCTTTAAAATGTAGTGTAAAGTTTCTCGAAGCTTTGTCTTAACGAAGCCTATCTTTTCTCCGCAGCGTCTAACCAAACACAGCAAGTTTGTCCGGGACATGATCCGTGAAGTGTGCGGTTTTGCTCCATACGAGAGGCGAGCCATGGAGCTGCTCAAAGTGTCCAAGGACAAGAGAGCCCTGAAATTTATCAAGAAAAGGGTGAGTGCATTTTTCTATCGTGCAAATGCAGCTTTATAAATTTGCACTGGAGTTATTTTTGATGTATCTTTTAGAGCTCAACTCATGAGCCTGTGCAGTTAGTTTGAAAGAAATGCATTAACAATAGGCCAAACTGCTGCATACTTGGAAGAGAAATGTCTCATTACTTAATACGGAAGTGATTGAGTGTAAGTGTTTGTTTTTCCACAGATTGGTACCCACATTAGGGCCAAGAGAAAGAGAGAGGAGCTGAGCAACGTCCTGGCTGCCATGAGGAAGGCTGCTGCCAAGAAGGACTAATCTGTCACTTAATAAAAGTTGGATAAACTACAAAAACCTTCAAAAATCCTCTTTTTCTTTTTTCTCCTGCTTTGCAGTCAGTTGACTTGTTTCTCATTTTGCTGGATGTTGAATTTGATGATAGTGACACATTTTTAAAAGATGGGGCGAGGCAGGGTTGAGCTTATCACTTGGCTCTATCTCTTTTTCTTTGAAATCACTAAGTATTACCGGACTGAGAAATCGCTATATTTTTGAAAGTGGAGCGTTTTAACACTCCTGTGTTATACAGCAATTCAGCCAATCAACTGTTTGTAGTTTATTAGTATGCCAAAAATTCCCATTGGCAATAAGGTGGGGCTGTAGGGTGAACAGCTCAGCATCCACACTTATTGTGGGTTAATTTAACTTGTAACATGTTCAGAATTGGGTCTTTTCTTACTGAAATCAGCCTGGCCATCTTTTATAGGTGTTTAACTGTAAGTGAGCTATTCCGAACACAGCCATCCAAATTTATTTTGTGACCTACTCTGTGTTGTTTGAGAGTGTGCCATATAAGAAAAAAATGTTCATTTTAGAGTGATATCAGTCAGCCAACTGGAAAATATTTAAAAGTTGTCAGCTGCAGCAAGCAAACAAAGATATTTTGAATTTTATATACCACTGAGTTGGGGAAATAGGGTTAGCTTATTCCATCGTAATTAAAATCCAATATTTTACTGTCCAAGTATGAGCTGTTTGCAGCTTAAACAGACTAAATATTCAGCATGTCCAGGAGCGCCCTCCAGTGGTTATCATATATAGTCTCTGGAAGGAGCTGCCTGCTTATTAGTCTGGTGTCTGCAATATACTGTGTGCGTTAAGTTATGAACAGTGCTGGGTGTTAAAGCAGAATTTGTTATGATATTCAATAAAAAAAGTGGATCATACTCTTAAGTCCAGACCACTTGAGTCTAAGAAAAAACTTAAAGTTACAATCCAGCAAATTACGGGAACCCTGGGAGAGACCATGGAGGGACAAACATCCAATTTTCTATACAAAATACACATTGGGAGGTGCAAGGAGGTAAGACAATGAACTTCAACAAAATACTAAAGGTCAGATGCAACAAATAAAAGCTCAAGGTAAATACACTGGGTCATGAGCCACAGATGTGAATACATGACACAGATGGTACCGATGAGGATAAATAACTGGGCAGAAAATATTACTGGAAATGGCAATACAAGTCAAGGAAAATACAAAAATAAAGAGTAACTCACGACGACGCCAATGTGCCCCTCACAGAGGGAAAATCCTTTATTCTAGTTGGGTGAAATGAAAGGACAAGTAATCATTATCTAGATAAACAAACCCCAATTTCAATGAAAACTGAACGTTGTGTAAACCTGAATAAAAACAATACAATGAATTGTAAATCCTTTCCCACCCATATTCAATTGAATATACACTACAAAGACAATATTTAGTGTTCAAACTAATTTGATGTCTGCAACGCCTTCCAAAAATGTTGGGTCATGTTCACCACTGCATTACATCACCTGTCCTTTTAACAACAGTCAATGAGTGTTTGGGAATAAGGGTTTGTAATTAGACTTCAATATGAGATGAAGTTATGAATTAAATCAAGTATGAAGCAATCTAATGTGGCAGCTGTGGCTCAGTGGTAGGGTGTGTCCTCCTTCAACCAGAAGGGGGTTTGATCTCAAATATTGCTGTGTGCATACCATAGTGTCTTTAAGCAAAGACACTTAACTCAAAACTGACTTGTGTGATTCGATTTATTACTGATACTGATTACACTTGGACACAGAGGCGTGTTGTGTAACAGTGAATCTCTTGAATCTTACCATCTTTTGGTTTGTGAGCTTATGTAATGTTGCACGTTTGGAAGCCTTACTCAGGATTGTTATAGATAGATAGATAGATAGATAGATAGATAGATAGATAGATAGATAGATAGATAGATAGATAGATAGATAGATAGATAGAAGTATGTACAATACAGACTAAATATACTAAATATATACAATAAATATGGCTAAATATACTAAACATCCTAAGAGAAAAAAGTGAGATATGAGAAAAAAAAAATATATATATAAATATATATAGTGTATAGTATAGTATATAGTTATATACACTATAACTATATATAAAAAAATTTAGTTATAGTGTCCCTTTGGAGTGGGTGAGAGCCATTTCAGCTGCAGTTTCCGTCAGTCTACCCCAGGGCAGCTGTGACTACTAAGGTAGTTCACCACCACCAAAGTGTGACTGTGTGAGTGAATGAATGATGTATCCAATGTAAAGCACTTTGAGGGTCTCTGATAAAGCGCTATATGAACTCTGATGCATTATTATTATTATAACACAATACCAATACACAATGGGTGGTGAAAAGAGTAACTAACATTTACAGTCAAGAAAGGGATGAGTTGTATCAGGGCAGCAACACTGAAATCAGAATTTTAGTTCTACTTATCTAGTCTAACTTCACAATAAATGGGAATGTTCAGTTTATTTGACTTTTTATAGAATAAGATCATTTATAGTTCAGTATAGGAAGGCTAGTATTCTGGCTTTATCTTATATTAAAATTAAAACATGTAATTTGTGACAGAGAAGAGCTTTAATATTTTTACTTTATCTTTGGTGAAAATGTTCTTTAAAATTAGATTTAAAAATGATTTTTTTCACTTTATTATGAATAAAAATAATAAGTTTAGTGAGATTTATAATAGATATTCATATAAAAGTATATATTTTGATAATCACAATATATTCATATATTGTAATTATCAGAATATCAGTGTGATTATCATAATATCAGTTAATTTATTGAGTAATATCTTAAATTGTATTTAATTGTTGGAAAGGAATTTAAGTTGTAGCCTATTCTTAGGACTTCCTGAATAAGGATGACCAGTGATTTACATCCGCCATCTTGTCTTCAACAACATCTCGCAGGATCACTTTTTACTTTGAGGTATATTTTGATATGGATCCACCATCATTGTCGTATTTTAAGTGTATTACTGGCGTCTACAGGCAGACTCTGGTATTAACGACTGTGAGCGAAGTTGAGTAAAAGAAGCCAAATTCCGCAAGTCTGTATTTGTTTAATTATATCAAACTCGAACTTTAACTACCTGCAGAGGATTTAGACAACGTTCCTCAAAAATGATGATTAATTGCACATTTTCATGCAGGAGTTTGAACGTGAGCCTCATAGCTGTATTGGAGTGTTAATCGTGCCAATGTGCTCTCTCATACCGTTTGTTGCGTTGCCCCTGGTGACGCGTCTGTATCCACCTTGTGCCCGCCCATGACGCTGTGCTCCGTCTGTGATTGGCTGTTCGATACTAGCCTGCTCCTTTGACTGGCTAGGCTAACTGTCCTTACTTTGCATGGTATATTAAGCTGATTGCATTAACGGATCAGATTTAAACTACAGTCCAACAATATAGTTGAGACACAAAGTTAATGCAATTTTTTCCGAATAACACCGACTGTTTTTGCAGTCAGCCACTTCAGCTAAGATAAACGGAGGCGGTACAATTTCGACAGATCCTGGGTTTTTACAGGGAACGAAAACAGGCGATTTCTGCAATGTCTTCAGACGAAGACAGGGCCAAGGAAATTTTAAGGGGCTTCAAACTGTATCCTTTTACGCTGATGTGACTGAGGTTTTGTGGATGTTTTGTAATGGTTCCACATAACGAATGAGATTCTCTCTATGTACAGACCATCAGCTGTCTTTAGCAACATGGTAGTATCGTTTTGTTACAGTGTACGGCGGTACCGCAAGATTAGCAGCTGACAAACCTTACACCCTCACACCTTTCAGTTGTCGACGGCAGCAAAGTAACTCAGGTTCGTCTTGATTTTGCCTGAAAATGAAATGGCCGTGTTGTTTATAGCAAAGCTAACTTACCTCCCAGCGAGCTAAATGTGTGGCGGCTAAGCCCGGTGGCTAACGCGCCTGCTAACTGATCAATGTGTTTGTGGGTGCAGCAGCAGCAGATGTAACTAACGGTTATTCTCCGCATCTTAATATAACTATCACTGAAACACTGCTGATATATAGGTTAGTCTATGGAGCACATATCCTAGATGTTACCTGCGTTGAATAGGCGTGGATAACTTTCTTGCATAATATCTCTGCTCCCAGACTTCTTTATCTCAGGTGGGACCATTAGAGGTGACAGCAAACAGTTTTATCCATTAGACAGAGCTACAATGTTGTTTTGCAAAGTTGTATTTGTGGTTTGTATTCATTAGACAGCACGTGTTGTTGTTATGGGCAGAGTTGTGTCTTCGCTGTTTGGAAAGAGAGATTACACTATTTGAAAGAGCCGTTCTGTGGAGTTTATAACAACTGCACAGAATTTTTTAATTATGTAAAATGGTCAGTGACAAATATGGGTTTGCATCATGAGTAATTAAAAAATGTTTTAATAAATTGTTTTAAAGGTTTGCATTAAGTTTGCAAAGATGTATATATTTTATTTTTATCTGTTGGTTTCATATAATTTCAAATGGCATTTAAACCTTTTTTTTTTTTACAAAATAAATGATGGATTTCCCTTGAAAATGTCTAGTGGTGTAACCACAACAAAAGGGGAAATATTTAATACTCTTTTCCACCTATAGTGTATGCAGGTGTACTTATACAAAAAGTTACTTAATCATAATATATCAGTTGAAAATACAATTTGTTAGGATTTTTTTTTACAGAAAAATTGGATGCATTTTTGCAATATAGAGCAGGAGAAATGCTGAAAAAGGCTGGCATTTTCTAAATAACATTTGACAAATCATGTAGAAACTGTTAAGATATATGTTGGTGCATTGCAGTAAAGGGGTAAATTCCATTCCCCATGCATTTTCTCAAATATAATTTTTTCTTTAAATGAAAAATACTGATTGAACTAATTGAAACAAACCAGTTTCGTGAGTTTTTATGGTTACACCATATTGACATTTTTCCCATTATTCCCTGAATATTCTCTCAAAATGGATAAAATCTGGAAATTTTAGACAAGGTCTTCAAAAAGAGAATGTATCCAAGTAATTGGTGAGTGTATTTTTGAATTTTAGCCTTCTTAAATTTAAGTAAACCATGGGAACATATAGAAAAACTGTCACAGATCGATAGATAGATTTCTCCTTTTTTTTTGTACCATTCAACAATGCGGGCTATGGGGATCATACTTGCCCTGTTGCACTAGTGTGGCATACATCTGTTTTACAGTGTTGTTGTCTTGTTGAGTTTCTTTCCCTTTAATACTCCCACAAATGTTGTCTTGCACTTACTGTAATCGAAATTCGCTTTTCTAGTTTGTCTCTATTTATAGATTGACTTAAGATATATATCACTAAAGGGGAGGATAGGTAATCAGAGGTTTGGTTGTCTTTGTTGTATGAAGCTGTTGTTGTAGTCCTGCTGTCTGGACGAAGAACACTCAGACTCAAAGATGATCCATTTCATCTCAGGTGGACGTCCTTTTTCACTGTCTCTCATATGTCTCCAGACTGATATTCACTTCAACTTGAACCCTTGCCAAATGGGTTATTATTGTCACGGCGTTTGTGTTTACATACAACACTGCAGGCTAAATGTCCCTCCATTTACATTGATGACCACATTCTCACTTCCAAGTTCTTTTTATTTAACTCTGTGGTAATCAAAAATAATGTAATTACAACCGTTAATATTTACAAAGATATAGGTTCAAGTGTCTGTGTCCTGGTCGGGGCTCATGCTCTCTTCATGGTAAAACTTAAATCCATGATTTAGTGGAAAAAGGATTGACTACCTTCTGTTCATAAAACTGCTTTACTAAAGCTAGAAACCAAAACTCTAATGTTCTTTTCTTAACAGTAACTGTAACTCATCTTTAGTTCCCAGTCATTTTAAGAAAGATACATTGGGAAAATGTACGTCATTTTTGGAATGGAAATGTAATTGTTTCCTTAAAACAGCACAGGTAACATGGAGCCATACTCCATACTACGTAGTTACTGGTTGCTTTTACGGTAACAATAGCATTTCTCTAAAATCCCCAGAGAACCTTCACTTAGAAAGGTACCTAACTGTTATCTAAATTCTAATTTAAGTTTTACCTTGGGGACTTAATGTTTGTTTGACCCTTTAAGCGTGAATCTATTTGAAGAGGATCAGTTAAGTGGATAAATAAAAAAACAACAATAATAACACAGTCTTTAAAACTATCTAAGACAAAATGTTGCTCAGAAGTTGAAGTTGGGAAGTGAGTGAATAGAAAACCTGTCCACACCTGGGTAAGGTGTGTTAGGGTGTTCTTATTGAATTGTGGGCTGGTTGTAAACTACCTTTACTTTGAGCCATTAAAGCGTCTTTAAAAAGAAATGCAGACTAAACAGTGACAGCATCATTTCACATGGGGCTCATTAACTGGTGTGTGTCTTCTGACAGATTTGTACATGCACCCAGGGGGTTTATACACACACAGCCTGCAGCTGGCCCCGAGTAAGCTATAATACAGCTTTGTTTAAACCAAACAAGAACTAAATAAACAAGATTTTTGTTTGTTTGTTTGGTTTCAGGAAGAATAAAAGAAAAGGGCACATATCAGATGTGAATATTTAATAAGCTGTTTCTTATTAAATAGCTGAAGCCCTTTCTCTTTTATATGATTTTAAACCAGCTGCCATGAGCACAACGCTTGTGATCAGATCACAAGTGGTTTCTTAAAATTACAGGTGTGAATGAACCCAAGAACACCAAGAAAGCTTTGTTCTCAGGACACGTTTTAGAGGTCGGGGACATTTATACTTTTCACAGTAAGATCATAAATGGTTCTTGGACCACTTTAATGCGCTGCCTAGAATCCTTAACCAGGAAGAAAGTGACAGACTGTTTTCCTTTTGCACGCCTCTTCCTTATTAAACCCTTCTACTTTAATTTTTTTCTCCATGTCATTCCCTGTGTCTGAAACGTCAGATATCTATTAGCGTCAGGGTTTCCACAGAGGATGGAAAACTCCGGTCCTTTGTCAGTGAGTCAGGAGCAGTCTTTTTTTAAGACTGGATGATTCTTCATGAGACAAGGGTAGAGGACAGCTGAGTGGACGAGGTTGCAGTTGGGAGATGTGATTAACATCCACTTCATTTTCACATGGATTTGAGGAATGTGGCACAATCAGGATACAGATTTAGCAAATGTATAATGCGATCTAGCTGTCTGCATGTTGTCATGAATTACAGAGACTTCAGTCTTGAGTGGTGTTAATTTATTTATCCGTTAAATCAAACAGCTTTTAAGTGAAACAGGCTTTATTTTCCAAGAGTTTCTAGGCGTCATATCAACACTTCCTTTCATATTTAGAAGCCGGTAGTCTATCACTTATCCACATGACCTTTCTCAGGGTCTCTCTACCTCTCGTCTGTGTCACACTTTTTCAGTTGAAGGTTTCTTAACTGAAATTGATGTACATGTGCACCTACTGTAGAGAAATAAGATCTGAAATTCAGTCCCAGATGTAAATTCATGTGCATAGAGCTCTTCACTTGTGATTGATTAATCAAAGAGGCATGTTTGTTTTTTTTCCTATTCTGATTCCACATCTTCTGTAACAAGCGCTCATACACGCCCACCACCATGCAATCTCGCCTTTGTTATCTTGACCATGAGTGCTATTGAAGCTAATGTCATTTTTCTGTTAAAGCAGCATGATCTGTTGGAAGAGAATCCACGAGAAATACATTGCATTGTGGCCTGGATTATTCTGGAAGGTGTGGAGGATGATGGGGTTTATGTTGGAGGTTGGAATTAGTTAGACTTGAGAGGATTAGAGAAACCGTTCCCCTCAGCACACTTTACTAGAAAACCAGCGGGAGAGGTTGGGCATTTGTTGAATGACAATATTATCCGTGGAAACTGTTTAAATATTACGGGCAAAAGTTATATATTAATTTCACATTCCTTATTTTTAATGTTAGCCAATTAGAAACCTAATGTACATTTAGTATTTTCTATTATTCTTCCAAACAGGATGCATTGACACTGATTGATTGATTAGATCAGGAGCTGTAGATTGTTTTAGAGAGAGGCATCTTGGTCGTGATGATGGCTGGATGATGACCTTAAAAAATATAAAATGAACTTCACCAGGCGCAGGTTTTCATTCCCTCTCTTTCTCTTTTATAATTTACCTTTTTCAAGATTTCTGCAACAACATCCTGATTAGCTGAATGACTTATAAACACTTTCATCTGACTTAGGGTACAATGTTTATAGTTCAGTAAGTTTTCAGTTTGCTTTAGTGGTGGTTATGTAGTCCCTCTATTCACTCTTTGGATATGTGTGCCCATAATGCATATCAGAGTCCTGAAGCCTTTGTAGTCGTGTGTTCTAAGGCTGTTGATGGTGGATGTGAGGTGGGCTGAAGAGCTCCACAGATGGTGGGGAGCCAAGTGTGTGTGACACTAAGTAGTATCTGACTCTGACAGGATACAGAGTTCAGAATCTTTAGAGCAGAGGTCTGTGGAATGACGGTTCTTAGCCATGAGGCGGATATCCCCAGACTAAAGTTCACTCTCATCTTCAGAGTTTTTCTTTATGTTATATTTATGAATGTTTTATCATTGTTGATTGCATGTAGTCAATTAAAATAACAATAGCTCAGTGCTTAGTGTTATTGAGCACAAGCTGCTCAAGGCTCTGAGGATCAACCTCATATTAGGAATATCCAGGTAGCCAAAACACCATACAAGTGTTTCAGTCCATATCATCTTTGCACTGATATGTTGCCTTTTTTACGGTTCTGAATATGTTTTTTTAATTACACTCCATACAAACAAAAGTCAGAAATCCAAGCTGGAGTAGCCTAAAGTTGTTCCCAGGCTCTAACTCCATCTGATGGACTTGAACAAGTTTTGTAGCTCGTGTTGAGAAAGATAAAGAAAGATTAAGATGCATTTGTGCCCCAACAGAATTTCCATAAGTGCTGCCTCACATATGGTGTTATATGTTCTAGTGTCAAATCATTGTGAGGATTGATGCAGTAAAAAGCTACAACCTACAGGAGAACCTCAGGTTAGGTCCTTACAGGCGCTGTGATGGACAGTGGTATTGTGTTTATGGTGAATGCAGAGGTCAGATACAGCTGACTCGATGACAGACTGATGGGACAGCTTGCAGCAAGTATCTGCTACATAAAAGCTTTTGTGGATTTCTCTATTTACTCGCCCAAAGATTTCTTTAATTCGCCACTAAACTAGAGATTATTTCTTGGTCATACTTTGATTAATCACAACACATAAAGCGTGTTTCTGAATATGCCAAAAATAGTCTCAAGGTTGGTGTTTGAAAGGCTGCAGTTTAGCTAAATCAGACTCTAGCTACATATCATGTAGATATCATGTGGTAAAAAGAATGGACAAATAATGGAAAAAAATAAGTTTGAATTTATCAGTAAGTATAAAGTAAAATTTAGATGAACTGTGCTTGCAATATCAAAATACTTTAGATATTTACGACTGTGTTCTCCAGCTAACCTAACCTGTTGACAGGGAATGTTTTTGCATTGAGGACAAAGGATAAAAGTAACTCTGCGCTTTTGAGCATTTTGTTCAGTTTGAAGTCAGTCCTAACATTATCCTGTACTATACAAAACTGGGGATGAGGTTTCTAAAGTAGGGTTGACAAGTGCAATCACAAATCCAGTTTATATGAAGCGGTGGTGATAGGGGATATTTAATCCAGAACTGGCTTGTTTAGTTGTTTGAGTTTGTATATTCAGACATACTGTCATAGCTTAAAACTAAAAAGTGCCTTTTTGAGAGCCCATGTATAATCTTATTGATCTAAACAAAATGCAAAAAAGAAAAAAAAACAATCCTTTATTTTAATCTTTTTATCTGTTAATGTTCGGAATTTACTCATTCTGTAGCTTGGTTTGAGTTGCTTAACTTTGTCCTGTCAGAAACTGGATGAATCTTCGAGATGCAGAGACAGGCAAAGTCCTGTGGCAGGGGACTGAGGACCTCTCTGTACCTGGTGTTGAACATGAAGGTACATTCACTCACAAATCTTCAATTTGGACACACTTCACATTTTATTTTTAGTGTTTTGTGCATGTTTTTACCCATCATTTCTTACAGTTAGATAACATGCTCATTAATATCTGTGAAGACAATCTGAGAAACTCTACATAAGTATGGAGGCTCTTAAACAAGCTTATCTGAGAGTATTTAGCTCCAATTATTGAGAAGTGAAAACTAAGATGAATGTTGTGGTTCTAAACAGTTTTGTTAAAACCTGACCTGGTTACTCCTCCTGGTTTACACTGAAGTACTGTTTTACTTTAAAACTGTATATTTATAAGGTTTGTAGACAAAAACACATTTGTTGAAAAATGCAAATTGGCATCTGAGTGCCAGTTTTAACTTAAAGGGGCGGCTGTGGCTCAGTTAGTACAGTCTGTCATCTCTCAACTGTAAGGTCAGGGTCCGATCCCAGTTCCTGCTGTCAACATGAAGTGTCCTTGGGCAAGACACTTGACCCCACCCGCCCCCACTGGCTGCACCCAGGTGGCTTGTGCATGGGATTAGTCAAAACTGATGGGGGCTTTACACAGCAGCCTCTGCTATCAGTATATGACTGTGGTGTGAATAGGCAAAGGCCAGAAGACTAGAGAAAGCACTATAGAAACATAGTCCATCTACTATATAGCTTAATTGTGCTTTCTCATGGTTTCTCCAGCTCGTGTCCCGAAGAAGATCCTGAAGTGTAAAGCAGTCTCTAGAGAATTGAACTTTTCCTCTTCAGAGAAACTGGAGAAGTTCAGACTGGAGCAGAAAGTTTTCTTCAAGGGACAGTGTCTAGAAGGTAATTGGCATAACTGTAGCCTTGTTTGTTCTTCCCTGCAACATCCCACTGCATAAACTATTTATGACTCTAAAAGCATTAAAGCATGTTTATTTGTTTATTTTATTTTATTGTTTTTTATTATTATTGTTTATTTTGCATATCGGGGATCCCCCTTACCTTAAGCATCAGCTGTAAGCTATCCTTCCTGGAATCCACAGTTTACATTGTGAAAATACAATTTATACAATCAGAAATCAAAGTACACAAACATAAGACAATACATCACATTACACCAACAGAACAGACATTTCAACAATTACAACTGACTCAAACAAAGTCAAAGACGACAGACATTACAAAGTAAGTTGAGGTAAATATAAATTTGGGCGAAAGTTAAACAGCTGTATAATCTGCAGTTAAATTTTGCTCCTTGTGGTTTGTCAGGGGGTCATAATGTCAAGCATTGTTGTCAAGATTTTTTCTACAGGGCTGCAGAGAGATTTCTACAGAGGCATGGCTTATCTTATGTTGAAATCTGTGCCACTTATTAAATACAGCAGACTTTTTCAGATCAGAAGGCTGCCAAAGGCTAAATGTGTTTCACTATACAGAAGCTTTTTGCTCTGATTGGTAATATTATAAAGCAAAACAGAAGATGACAGGCATCTCACTGACCTGGGATCTTTTGTTGGTTAAATCAGTGTTACCATCAGTTGCTGTTTCTCTGCTGCTCAGAAGCAAACTCAAAAACAGGCATTTTGATCTAGTTATGTAGCCACGTTTAAAGACACACTTTAGGTTCTTGATTCGGTTCCATACATCCGCTGTAAGCTTAGATAAGCTTGTTTAAGCCTTGTGGCCAAGCTAGTCATATCCAGTGATATAAGGCGGACTGTTTACCTAAAGACTATTATAAAAAAAGAGAACTTTAACTCATCCCTTTGCCTCTAACTCAACCACTGTATCCTGTCTATGCCTCTGACTTACTCCTTTCTGCACTCTAGCTACTGAATAATACCTGACCTAATACCTACTTTTACCTGAATTCAAAATATCTTCACCTAAGAAGATCTAATAGGTCAGGGGCCTATTAGGAACACCAATTTAATTTCAGATGTCCTCAAGTCTGTCTTTCCTTAACGTGAAAAGCCATAAATTGTCAAACCAAGGTGTTGAGAACTGCAAAGTCTGTTACTTTTAATAACAAAAGCTTCCATGTTTCTTGTAGTTAATTTAGTTTACTCCGTTATTTTTGAATGTACAACATATTATTGGAAAGCTATTGTTACTGTGGGTTTAGAGTGGTATCCCTGGGGCCCTGCAGTGCAGAGAGCCCCAGGAGTCAACATACAATCCACACCAACACAACATGTTTATGTTGGTGGTTTCCACCAGAGAAGGAGAAGTCTCTGAAACTCATAATATATTAACCTTACACTCTGAAAAGGCCAGGATTTTGATGACCGACCTTAAACGGTTTTGTTTACACAGCTCTGAACTCTGTCTGTCTTTGCCTTCCTGTCTAGAATGGTTCTTTGAGTTTGGTTTCGTTATCCCAAACTCTACCAACACATGGCAGTCTCTGATAGAAGCAGCCCCAGAGTCCCAGATGATGCCAGCCAATGTTTTAACGTGAGTGTCCTACCAGATCATACTAACTCTTCCCTTCTGTGTTTCTGTACTGAGGATCTAGTGTTAATATTTTCTTTTCTCTATGTTTAATTTTCACACACTACTGATTAGATCGTACTAAAACCTTTAACTTCCTCATAGCAGCATACCTTAAAAATAAAACAAGTGTTATGTGTAAAACCTTGAGTCCATACGAGCTGGGGCAGTGTGCAGGGTGTTGATAAAAACAGAATTTGATGGTTTGCAAATAGTTTAGAGCAGTGGTTCTCAAGTCCAGTCCTCGAGGCCCACTGTCCTGCATGTTTTGGATGTTTCCCTGCTCCAACACACCTGATTCAAATGATCAGCTCGTTATTAAGCCATTACAGAGCTTGATAACGAGCTGATCATTTGAATCAGGTGTGTTGGAGCAGGCAAACATCCAAAACATGCAGGACAGTGGGACTCAAGGACTGGACTTGAAGAACCACTGGTTTAGAGCATATGTTTAATTAATTGTTTTATGAAAATTATGTGCTGATTTCAAATGTGATGCCAATGATGCACTTAGATATCATTCAGACATAAACATGTTTATTATCATGTTGCTTCATTTTTGTTTTTGGAGTTAAATGTTGTCCCATTCTTCCTTGGCATGGCTTTTTTTTTTGTCATAATGTGCCAAATGTTTTCAGACAGTGACAAGTCAGGACTGCAGGCAGCCATGCTGGTAGTCTTGATTAAATGGGTTAAGACCCAGAGAATAAAAGGCAATTCTGGATCAAGTGAATATATGGATTCCTCATGGTAAAGTTTTAACTTCATTGTGGATGCAGTGACAAACTGTGTTCCTTAGACAATCACTTTGTGAAGGGGTTTTATATCCAAGTGGGGTTTTCCACAGGAGAATAATGTCTCTTTTTAATGCAGTGCAGACTGTGGGCCCACAGATCAGTCCTCCAGGATCAGTTATTAGCCTCGTCCCTTTTGTCCAGATTTCTCTACTCTAATTCTTTCAGTGATATTTTGTACCGTCATTGATGGAGTCCTTAAATCATTTGAAATTTCAAGCGCTGCGACATTGTTCTGGAATTGCTGCTGCTATTTCCTCACCCAGACTCGTGTGGAGAACTCCTCATTATTACCTCTGAGAGACTCTGCCTCCTGTAGCATCTTTTCTTTGACCCCATCATGTTACTAACCTGTTGCAGAAAATTGTTGTTAATTGGGAGATGTCCCTTCAGGTGTTTTATTTAGTATTACTCTGTTTTTTCAGTGTTGCGTCTGTTCTGACTGTTTGGAAATATGTTGCAGAAAAATTTAGAATGAGCAGAATTTTCATTAAACATTAAAGATGTTCAGTTTCTATATTTAATTTGCTGTTTTTGTGATGGTTTTAATTAAACATGGGGTTTAAAATATTTGCAAACCACCAAATTTTATTTCCATTCATGCACCTGTGGGAACTTCATATCTCATCCTGCTGATGGTCAAACACATCATTTAGTGTCAGTGCTTTATGCAGAAATCATAAGAACAGGGCTTTTTCTTCAGCTGGTTTACTGACAATTACCCCCACCCACCAGTTTCAGGAACTAAAATTAGAATATACAAATTGTTAATCCTGCCCCTTCTGGTCTTGTTTCCTTTTGGATATAAGAAAGAAGCATCAGGAAAAATTTCCTTGTATCTCATTAACATAAAAAACGCCTCATAGCAGCTCTAAAATCTTCAACAGTGTTTCAGCTGTTAAAAAGTTGGAGTCATATACCAAAGTCTCACTTTATTGGGTAAGACATATTCATCTTAAAATCATATTATAGTGCTCCCCAGATGTACCAACGCTAACTGATTATGATCAATGATGGCATGAAGGCATCATCATTGAGAAATCATTGGAAAATGTGAAAATTATACATACCTTTTTAAGTAAAATTTTAATTTATAAATATTTGGGTTGCATTATCAACATTTATCCTCCTATTATCATATTTGAAAAACTAATTGACAAAGCTGAGATCTGGGCCTGTCATGGTCACAGCAAAGTCTATCAGGTGGAGAAACACAAAATCTGAGTCAGGAACATTTTCAAAATTGAATAACTTTCAATACAAGTAATTTATTTTTACTTTGTGTTGATTTTTAATGAGACTAGTTGAAATATGTAAATGTGTTGTAATGTTATATAATGTGTATAACGACAGTTGTGAAATATTTGATGTCTGAGTGAAAAATTAACTGTTGTCTTTGTTCCAGTGGTAATGTGATCATAGAGACCAAGTTCTACGACGATGACCTCCACGTCAGTACCTCCAGAGTACGACTTTTCTATGTCTGAACTCTAAGCCCTGATTCTACTTTTCAAAATGCTGACATCCTGCCAAGGTCTAAAAATTATCAAGGTTAAATACAATTTGGAAACAGTAAACAGCTCATTGCTGCTTTGGAATCAGCACACTTGGGGAAAAACCATGGTCCTCCAGTCAGTGAAGTGGACTCTATATTTGTTTCATCTCCTGTTTTTACCTGACTTAGGCCTTGGGGCGGGGGGAGAGGGACTTGAAGGGAGGTTGCTAATTTTTTTTGCTGTTCAAAGATCATCTCTCCCTGTACAATTTCACCTCCAGACTGTTCCATTGAAAATATATCACCACTGACCGTATGCTAGCCAAGGAGCCACCCTGGCATGAGATGATTCCTGCTTCTCAAATATTCTGCCCTTTGCACTCCAAGTTTGTATTTACTCAGGAACAGACCATCGGACGTTGTCTGATTTTAAGTTCTTTTTTGTTTTCGTCCAAACGTGGAGGCACTGCTCTCTCTATGATGTCTGTTAAAAACTCAAAAGTCAGTGTCGGTGGAAGATGCGGCTCAGTGTCTCTACTGAGGTGCATTGTAAAGATCTTTATCATTAACTTTACATTTCCTCTTGCAGTGTCCCATCATAGAGGCTGTCTAGATGTATCCAGGTTTCTGAAGTTTTTTTTTTTTTTTTCATCTTATGGTTAATTGAGGTTGTCCATTTCCAAAGATGGTTTTGATTTACACTCACAGAAATAGTCTTTGATCACAGTTCTCATTTTCTCGCCAGTTTTATTCCTGACTGTAAATCCAGCTAGTTGTTCTGTATTGGGTGAAAATGGAGGTGAAACAGATGAATTCTGACACATCTGTCAGACAAGGACTGCCTGAATGCAGAGCTATTGGTGGTCTCTGTGAGGCTAAATATCGGAGCTGCTGATCTGGCTTTCGTCCTTTTTAGACACACTTTTGCAGACAATGTTTGAAGTGGGACACACTGAACACCACCCTTAACCTCTAATGTTATCAAACTGTGTGACTAGTGTAGAACGGTGGTTATCAGGTTAGTATGAGCGTGGTCAAAGTTGCTGTTTTTATTCTGGCTGACCACAGTAAGAATCACTTTAACTAGAGTTCTTCCTGTCTGTATTGTTTGGAAAGAAAACCTGCACACTGTTGACTCAAGTTTGAAAGCACTGTTTTGAGGGCCATTTATCAGCAAACGGGATATGTGTTTGTCATATTTATGTACTTAATTTTGAAGAGTTATACTTCAAACATTCAACTTTCAGCTACATCATTTTAATATAGGGTGTAGACAAAGATGTTTGTAATTAATTTTCTGTAGTTACAATGTTGTCAGAATTACCCTAACTAGGCACAGATGTTAACAGCTGTGTAAGGTATTCAGTTAGTTTCACTTTGTACATCCTGCTTACATTTTTAAATTGAGGTCCTATCTACTTCCCCGTGCTCATGTCAATGTTTGTTTGTCTTAGATGCTTACTTAGCTGTTGAAAATAGACTTGTGTTTTAATATAACTGAAAATGTGGATTAAAGTCATTTAATGGTCTAATAAAACAGTGAGTGAGTGTGTGTGCGTCTATGTGTCTATCTGTTCTTTAAATGAGGTGGCAGAATAAATGCAGAAAATACTTAGTCAAGTAAAGGTCTGACCTGTTTGTCTCTCCTAATTTCTCATTAACTTTCAGTAATGAGCAGTTTAATTGTGATAAAATAGATACTTACCATAATGGTGATGAACTGTGACACGTTAGACCAACTTTTCCCCCTGTAAATCTGAGCTATATTTCCATGAGAAAGTGACCTTCTTTATTAACCCTAGAACACTATCGCCGGGTGATTTTCACCCGACCAAACATGTTCACGTGATTTTCATGATGTTGTGTTTGTCTGAGTATCATGGGTCCCTGGGTAGCTTCAGCATTGCCTTTGACATCTTTAAAGGCATATTTGTTTCCCTGATCCAAAACCTGCTTTTTCCTACAGGCACGTGTTCAGGTGATTTTCACCCGGCAATAGTGATAGATAGAGGGTAAAGTAGTATGTAGGCGAGTAAGGTCAGTAAGAGTGGTCCTGGAATTTTCATGCTAAATTTATTTATAGCAGTGGATATAAATAGCGAACTATCACAAAGTAGTGATTTTCAAGGGAATTCATATGGTGATAAGAAATATTGGTCAATTTTACTCTCAAAATATGCCATATTTTGGTTGTCTCTCCTCTGTTATTGTACCAAGGACCCTGAGTCTTTACCAGGGAAGACTCACAGTCCCCAGGAATGGGTGGAAAATAAATAAAGTTTACAGTTTCTATGAATTTTTTTTTTTTTTGTAAAGGAATTTTTTTGTCCACGAATGCCTAATTTCAGTCATTTTGTTGCATTTTGATATGGCCCCCTCATGGCACTTTTCCCCCTCCTTTTGGACATTGCACAGTTAAATATGAAAAAAACTACTTTAATTTGTCACGTATTGTCCTATTTTGATATATTTTGATGACAAGTACTTTTTCTTGGGTATATTATTTCGGGTAAAAATCACCCTGCCATAGAGATGGTGTTACTAATTTTAGCGATAGTATTCTAGGGTTAACCAGTAATACCGGTAAGAGGAAACTAAATGGAACCGACTGAAATAGAAGGACGATGAAGTTGAACTGCATTTCCCATCAGCCTTTGCAACCCACTTGAAGGGGGTTTGTTTCGACCTTGGAGTTTGACGTAAGCGGCAGCATGGCAGGCAGGGAACCAAACGTAAGTGTTGCAGTGACAGTATTATTTTGGTGCACAGCAGAAATGTCTATTTTCCTATGAAGGGTCAGATGCTCTCGTAGACTTAAATGTGCATACTGACCATCAGCTAGTTATGAATGAAAAAAACGTATGGGTTGGTCACCTGTCAAATCAGTTAGCATGTCGCACTGGTTGACTTGTCTCATGGTTCATTGCATAACTTGATTTAAAAGGTCGTGAACCCTCTAAGTTAGGTTATCATCTCTTTATGTAAATGTGTGTCTAGAGTGAGTGAACACGTAGATGCTGATTCATCTCTACTGCCTCACCACTTCTCTCACTTCACCCTCATCCTTGGGTAATGTAAAGGATGCCAAATGATACAAACCCAGTTAAGTTATTGAAAGTTAAGTAAGCCCTTCCCCAGTAAGCCCTCAGGATTTAGTTTGAAGTGCTTGAAATTATAAATAGTACACTAGGTTAGTTGTGTGCTTTCTGTTATATCAGCATGCAAACCCCATTCACTCAGCGCTGGCTATTGTATGACAGTAAGAGAACTTTTTCAAATTAAAAAAATGTATTTTCACAAGTTAGTTTGGTACCCGTATCTGCATTGAACAACTCTCTTAAACCAAAGTGGCCAGTCAGTCAGTCTTTGGAGAAGTAGCCCCTGTTTTCTTTTATTTCAGTATGAGAAAAGCTCATGTGCTCTTTTGAATGCTGCAGATTTTTCAATTGATTTCAGGGGCAGCTGAAAATCAGTGATTGAGTTGGTCACTTTATTTGGTTTTAAACCTTGGTTTTGCTTGGCTGTAAGATCTAATGTGAGTATGATGAAGCTGACAAATTAGAGAGGATATGAAGGAGTGGTTCCCAAACCTTTGGAGGATGAAAACGTTCTGTGCCTTGAACAGCATATGATTATTTTTTTCTGTAATTTTTAATTTCTGTGTTAGAAGAAGAAGCCATTCAGGGTTCTTGTATGTGAATTTTGTATAATGCAGAGAGTGGTTTATGTTTGACTGATGCAGCTTTCACAAAGCCATGGGGGTCCTGGGCTGGACTAAGTATCGTGACAAACATTTCACTTTTTTGTTTTTGGTTACTGATTTCATAAACTACTGATCATCCCTATATTTCCTTCCTGTAGAACTTATATCAAAAATGAATCAAATAGGGCAAACTAAATCCAGAAAACAAGTCTCATGCATGGTCTCTGTTATTGTCCCACCCCCAAATGCACACACACCGTAGCGCTTTGTCCAGCACCTGAGGGATCTGACAGGCCGGATGTCCTCGTCTGGTGGCAAAGGGGCAGGATTAGGACTGAAGCTGCTGCTTGGAGCTGGTGCAATGGCATATGGAATTAAAGAAGCCGTCTACACAGGTAAACAAAAGTTCAGATCAAAAACATCTGTCTTAATGAAGGATCGTCTAATTTAGGTGGCAGTGAGTGTGTTGGTGTTTTTATAATAAAGGCTATGTGGTCATTCAGTTTTATTTTCCATTTTGTCTTTATTTCATCAAATCTGGATCTGAATTGAATTGTGGGTTGAATGTGATTATACATCCTTAAAAATAGTGCATGTGGTAGTGGTCTTGTGTGTTGTAAGGATCAGTGAGCTCAGTTTTACTTTGTTTGTATGCTAGTTAACCTCTACACTGTGTGTGTGTGTGTGTGTGTGTGTGTGTGTGTGTGTGTGTGTGTGTGTGTGTGTGCGTGTGTGTGTGCGCGTGTAGTTGAAGGTGGTCACAGAGCTATCATCTTCAACAGGATTGGCGGGATGCAAATGGACACTATTCTGGCTGAGGGGCTCCACTTCAGGTAGGATTCAGTGCTTTCATTGTTGTGTCTCAGGATCATTACTGTGTCAGAAATAGTACACTAAAAATCTTAGAGTGTAAAACAGTAAAGAACAAATGCATCAGTCCTTTGTTTTTTTTGACCTGTATGAACTGAGACCAACTCCAAACTTGTAGCAGTAATTTTTTTTCAGAGAAGATATTGATCTTTCTCTCTTGGACATAAACAGTGGTAATTTGTGGTCATGGATCACATGAATCACATTTTACAGATGATGCTAACCATACAGAGGCAAACTTGCACAAGTAAAATCCAAAATAAGCTGAATAGACCCTTAGCTGTTTGTGTTCTTCAAGAGATGAACCTTTAGGGCTTGTCTTTAGATCAACCCGTCACATCTAACCACAGGCTTTAGCATATACTGTTGAGTTGAGTCTAAGTGATTCAAAAGATACAGTCAAAAACACTGGGCCTGTGAGACAATGCCGTTGTGTCTTCTTACACACAAACTGAGTAGTCAGCACTTTGTCCATCCAGCAATCAACGTCTGGATGGACAAACTGCCCACTCATATTTCCAGAGCCGTGCCACCCCCTTCCACTGAGCAGATATCAATCAAATTGGATTGAATTACTCAGTAGCGTACCACTGTTCTCTTCACATGCATGATTAAAGCCTGATGAGGGTGGAAAGTGTTGTGATGCTACGCTGGTATGCATGTGCAGCTAAGTGGTTGCTTGCTCTTTTATGTAGGGGTGGGAGAAAAAATCGATACAGCATAGTATTGCAATATTTTGTCTAGTGATATATCGTCTCATCCACCAAGTGTCGATTTTTTCAAATTAATTGCTAATATGAACTCAAGTCTAGTCTATAAGAAAATAAACAAACAACAAACATGGCAACACCTAGGGAAGGACATTAGGAATGCAAGTATGGCACAAATGAAATAGACCTGACACATAAGGTTTGCAAGAAGTGCTGCATGAAAATAAAATACTGTGTAAATAAGACAAACGTACCAGAAAGACAAATGCTTAATCAGCTAAGCATTTGAAAAAGTTGTACAAATCACAGTATGTGGTATTGCAATACTCACTGTATCGCAAAACGTTTTAAATCACAGTAATATTGAATCGTGGCCCGAGTTTCATGATAATATCGTAACGTGAGGCCACTAGTGATTCCCACCCCTACCTTTAAGCACCATCTTTTGGGTTCCTCTCTGCTTTTTACACAGCTATACTGGTTGCATGGCCTGTAGGATGCTGCCTTGTTTTACGCTCAATACTGGCAAAGTCAAAGATTTTTACACATGCTATTAAATTGGTGTCTGTGTTGTAGGATCCCATGGTTTCAGTACCCTATAATATATGATATCAGAGCCAAACCAAGGAAAATATCCTCTTTGACTGGCAGCAAAGGTAAAATACACACACATACACATCGTGTCTTTTGGAAGTAGGGCCATGCTGTGAGGGAATCAGGTTCATGTTTGTCAGAATTGGCTTATTAACAAAGAAAGCAGAGTTGTTGCCTCGTTTTCTTTTCCAGTTCCTTATTGGAAAACGAAGTGTACAACACAACCATAAAATATGACAAAGGACGTTTTCTTTCTTTCGCAGCCCCAACACAAAAAGGACATTTTAGAGTGTATAGCATTCAGGTTTACTGGCAAGTGATATGTCCTATGAAGAATCTTAAATTGTAAGAGTTTATGCCTCCAGTCAATGATCCTTATTGAACATCAGAGCAAATCAGTTTTTCTCTTTCACAGAGGGTCTTGGTTCTTTCTATGTACCGCTTTTACATCAGCATGTTATAGGCCAGGTTACTACCTATTGTTACAGCATGACAGGAAAGCCCAAAGTTTCATGGAAAGGCAAATGGAGAGGCTTAAAGGTTTTCAAATCAATTTTTGAACGGGATATAGCAAAAAAAATCACCTTTTCATAGTGTCTAAATATGTATTACTGCTTAATTTTCTGTAAACATTAAAAGTGCTTCCCTTTTGTAACATCTTACCTTGAGCAAACCATACCTGCTGATAAGATTGTTTACAGCGTCTCTTGTCAAAGAGTGCACCCCCCTGCATTTAAAGACTGTAAACGTTCCTTTAAAGACATTGCACTTATTTAAGTCCATGTCACACAAAAGAGATAACATTGATGGGTGTTGTGTTGGTATTAAGATCTTCAGATGGTGAATATAGGAGTACGGGTACTGTCCAGGCCCCTGGCATCCAGTCTACCTGCAATGTATCAACAGCTCGGGAAGGACTATGATGAAAGAGTGCTGCCCTCCATTGTCAACGAGGTCCTGAAGTCTGTGGTGGCAAAGTTTAATGCCTCACAGCTCATCACACAGAGAGCACAGGTATCATGTCATGAGCTCAGTCATGTTTGTTTAATGACTGACTGTTTCAACACAATAGCTAATATGATGATATGATATCATGGTAGTGACTTGGTTCGCAACTGGTTGCTTCTGTTTATGTGTGTGTGTGTTTGTGTATGTCTATGTATAATGCATTTGTATTATGTATCCTGTACTGTTCCTCAGGTGTCGCTGCTGGTGCGCAGAGAGCTGTTTGAGAGGGCTAAAGACTTCCACATTATTCTTGATGATGTGTCCATCACAGAGCTGAGCTTCAGCAGTCAGTACACTGCCGCCGTGGAGGCCAAGCAAGTTGGTAAGGCTCAGTATCACACACTGAGGCACACTGAGCTTTAAGCAGGGATTTCAATCATCTCAGCTCAAATGAAAGGGCTCTTTCTTAAGGACGTGTCCAGCTTTATAGATGAGAGGCCTTCAGGAGCTTCAATGAGTTAAACACGCAGATCTTGATTTTAATATCATCACCTCCACAGTCTTTTCACTTGACGTCATACACACAGTTCTTCTTTGTTAATCACCTGCAAAACACACACCAACAAAACTTACAATTTGTTTGGATGTACACACAATTTTGTTCTTTATTTGGTATCCTGGTAAATCGGGTCAGTAGAGTATCAAATCTTAAAACTACTCCCTAATAAGGGTATGTATGAGAAAAACCTTGATGTCATGTGAATTGTGAGTTATACTCTGTGTCTGCTGAAGCTTGTTTGACTAACTTAGATGTGGAAATCATCTTCAGTGCCATGATACAGTAAATTGTCTCATTTTCATCATCCCCTCACAGGCAAAAGTTGTCCCCAAAAAAAGTCATAACATGTACATCTACTTAAGTCATATACATGATTCGCTGTCCTTGTGGCCTGACGTTTATGACTAGAAAACTGAAACAAAGCATCTGCCACTAATAAACTGTAATCAGTCAACCACTAATGTTTAATGCATCAAAAGTGTAAAACATTTTTAAATTTGTAGGTTTGTGCAAAGATGTCCTGAAGCTGTATTCTACCAACCACATCGTTGATATAGGTGACAATAATGCAAGTGTGTGTTTTAGCCCACCAAGAGGCCCAGAGAGCCCAGTTCTATGTGGAGAAAGCCAAACAGGATCAAAGACAGAAGATCATCCAGGCTGAGGGAGAGGCTGAAGCAGCAAAGATGGTAACTGACTGACTGACTGACTGGCTGGCTGGCTGGCTGGCTGACTGGCTGACTGACTGACTGACTGACTGACTGACTGACTGACTGACTGACTGACTGACTGACTGGTCCACCTAACTTTTTCTCACTCTATAGAAAGCAGTGTTCAACTTCAGAAGTATATCCTACTGACATCAAACTGAAGTCAGAAAACTGCTCTGCTGGTTTCAGTTTTGTTAACAGTTTGAGCGAGACAATAAACAAAGATTTAAGGCCTCATTCATGATGTCTTAGGATTTTTTTAAATTGGTTCTCATGAAGGTATTTCACAAAATACATTTTGCACTCACACATTAGCACATACACGACAGGAAGAGAGATTTTGAGAGTTTTCAGGCTTTGCTCCTGCATTATCCTTGATAAGAGAACTTTAGTGAATGTCAGAATCTTAAAAACTGCACAAGTGGGTTTGAAAAACAAATTTCTTCTCAAGAACAGCTGGTTTCTGAGGCCTGTTGTCTATAATGACAAAACTTTTATCTCTTTGTGTTGATTTTGTCTCTGTTGTTGTTGGTATTTGCCAGCTGGGCCTCGCAATAAATAGGAACCCAGGTTATTTAAAACTGAGGCGGATCAGAGCGGCTCAAACCGTGGCAAAGACGGTCAGTATCATATCTTGTCATTAATGGCTTAAACAGCCAATTATTTTACATCAGTGGAGATAATGATGTTGATAATCATGTTCATAATTATGTCTGTGACCTTCTCCAGGTGGCAACATCTCAGAATAAGATGTACCTTGATGTCGACAGTTTGGTCCTTAACCTACAAGATCAGACCTTTTTTAATAAGTAGGTTTGCACCCTCTCCTTCACTCACTCTCCTTCACTCACTTTAGCTTGCTGTGGCGTGTAAACACATTCTAAACACTCATGTAACAGCTGATCGATTTGATAATCCCACTGTAGAGATAAGTTATTCTGATGCACAGATAATAGCGAGCAGTAGTATAGTAAATAGACTGTTTCTATAGTCCTACCTCTCGTCTTCTGAACACCCAAAGCGCTTTTAACTTACGTATTGCATTCACCCATTCACACCACATTCACACACTGATGGTAAAGGCTGCTATGCAAAGAGTCCAACTCTTATCTGATTCACACACTCCTGAGCATAGCCAGAAGGGCCAGTTTGGGTTGAAGTGTCTTGTGAAAGTGTCACTTTCAAATATAGACAGCAGGACCAGGGACTGAACTCCCAACCTTCAAGTTAAGAGACAATCAACTACATACACCCCTACTAATTATAAATAATGAAGAGTGCTCTGATCGTCTTTATCACGTGTCATGTGGTGATGCTTGTATCCTTTTTTGTCAGCATGTCGTCGGTTCAGAAGTGATGAAGAGGACATGAGGGGAGGGAGTACGACTGTCCATCATCGGCTTTTTGACAGAGAGAATCAAATAGAGGACTCTGTAAAGTTGGTTTTAGGTCCGTACAATCGCTTCAGGAGCAATTTCACTGGGACTTTCTAATGCACAAAAACTGGAGTGAATGTATTTATTTGTATTTATTCACCATAGTGAGTTAGCCTGATAATGCCAGGCTAACTTTCCCTGGCATCTTGTGCAGAGAGACCGATTTCTGTCTGTATTCTTCTTCCATTGTAACTATTGATCTGGCTGCCACTTTTCACACACATATGACAAAATCATCTCTCAGTCTTCTTATTGGTCTCCTCAGTAAGTATGGCATGGAGATGTTTGTCAGTGCTCCATATCTCTGCTAATGTGAGATAGTTTTACAATGTTAGGGTTGTGTCGGTTCATGCAACAAATATAATATTGCAGCTTTCTGTGATCAACTTATTCATCAATAGAATTACATGAATTAAAATCTGATAACTTGTGATGCTTCTTTATTTCTGCTAAGTAATATTGCATTCCATATGAGAGAGTGTGTTTAGTGGGGATGTAGTGTTTCAGGAGAGTGGAGAACTACACCTCTGAAGAATCTACAGGGCACTGAGGATGTTGGTTTTTTTCGTAGTTGGCTTTTCTTTGTCACACCTTAGTACTTGAGCCAAGAACCAAAATTTCACATATCGGTACCACCTGGGTGGGCAAATTCTAGTTGTGATTTTTTTATTGCTATACATCCCTACAATAAGTTTTTATATGATAGACCTTGGTAACTGGTAGCTTTATTGTAGTTATCACTCATTGAAGTAATAGAGTGCAGCTGTTCAAAAACGAAAAATCGCCTTCCTTCAAAATTAGCTTTCTTTCATTTTAACCTCTCATTTAGGTGTCTTTGAACTATTGGCTAGCCATAGAGACTTGTAATAACCCCCTAAGTAGTATTTCAAGTAATTTATCTAATACAGGTGTGTATATATAAGCTTCAATTAGCCAATTGTCAGGTCTAAATCAAGGTCTAAATTAAGGATATTTTTTTACTTAGAAGTAAAGTAAAGTAAATGCAGACTAATAGCATTATAATAACACAACTTTAATATGACACTGACATATTTTAAATGCAGGAACTCAATATACAATCATCCTGGCTGGTGCAGGGCAAGAAGACATTAGCAACAAAATAAGATCTACTGATGTATACACTCTATACAATCATCTGAGAAAAACTCAAATTCCTATTCAAAGTCCTATTCTTTCCATAAGGAACAGTGACAGCAAATATGACTGTCAAGTTTTGGCTTAGTACATAATACTGTCACTGAGTCACAGTGGGTCTGTTAACATAGCTCCCTTTGGTCATCACTTATTAATCAACATCAGTAATCGACATCAGTATCTGTATCTTCTTCTACATCTGAATCTGCCGGGTGTGCAAGGGGCTCTTCCTCACTGTATTGGTTGGCACAAGTTTGTAATTTGCACAGGTTTGTGCACTTCAGCCCATTGCTGAGACAGGTGCAGTCTGGTGGTTTGCATGTCCTCACACACTTGCAGGATAGCAACTGCAAGACCGAAGAAGTAAAGTAAATGCAGACTAATAGCATTATAATAACACAACTTTAATATGACGCTGAGATATTTTCAATGCAGGAACTCAATATACAATCATCCTGGCTAGTGCAGGGCAAGAAGACATTAGCAACAAAATAAGATCTACTTCTAAGATCAGTCTGGTGGTTTGCATGTACTCACACACTTGCAGGATAGCAACTGCAAGACCGCATCTGGTGCTGGGGAACCACGCATCCACTGTATTTCCAGCTGCCCTTCGTCATTTATGGTCCACCCATGGTCCTTGGGGCTTGGTACAGATGGCTTGGTATGGAGAGACCGTCTCCAGATAGCAACCTGGTAGTTGGCACGAATCGGTTGCATTAATACGCAATCCTGACATGGTGGAAGCTGGCTGGACTCAACTTTAGCCAAGGTCCTGCATGAAGGTGGTGATAGTGAAAGGATTGACGTTGTCTTTGACGTTTACAAGGACATGTCAATCTAAAATTCAGAAAGACTAAACAGAGGTGCAGACATGGGGATCCAGTTCAGAAACATTGTTTCTGGCCACAATATTCAGCAGTGGAGGAAACTTCTCTGCAGCCCTGCCAACAAAGCCAGTCTCATCAAGTTCTTGGTGGAGGAATGGAGTTTTTCTCAGATGATTGTATAGAGTGTATACATCAGTAGATCTTATTTTGTTGCTAATGTCTTCTTGCCCTGCACCAGCCAGGATGATTGTATATTGAGTTCCTGCATTGAAAATGTGTCAGTGTCATATTAAAGTTGTGTTATTATAATGCTATTAGTCTGCATTTACTTTACTTCTACTTCTAAGTAAAAAAATATCCTTAATTTAGACCTTGATTTAGACCTGACAATTGGCTAATTGAAGCTTATATATACACACCTGTATTAGATAAATTACTTGAAATACTACTTAGGGGGTTACTACAAGTCTCTATGGCTAGCCAATAGTTCAAAGACACCTAAATGAGAGGTTAAAATGAAAGAAAGCTAATTTTGAAGGAAGGCGATTTTTCGTTTTTGAACAGCTGCACTCTATTACTTTAATGAGTGATAACTACAATAAAGCTACCAGTTACCAAGGTCTATCATATAAAAACTTATTGTAGGGATATATAGCAATAAAAAAATCACAACTAGAATTTGCCCACCCAGGTGGTACCGATATGTGAAATTTTGGTTCTTGGCTCAAGTGCTATGATACCTGAAAGAACTGCTCCACCATCAAATTGGGCCACTCCCACTTCATCAACTCACTTAATTAGACACAGGTTTGATTCATTTATAGAAAAGAGCAGTGTGACCCAAAAAGAGTATGACTTTTAATGTGCTTTTGACTTTCTGTGTTGCTTTTGGAGTTAACAAAAATTCGCCTATTGAGGAAAATAACAAAATAAAAAGCTACCCCTATGAAAAGTCTATCATATTTTAATTTACTTACATTGACCCTAAAAACAATTTAGTATATGTAAGGTTTTGCCCACCCAAGTGGTACCGACATCTGGTCTGGCTCAAGGACTACCTAACAATACGCTCTGTAAGGCACATACCAATGTGTCAGCGAGGAAGGCTGCAGGTCCTGATGGCACCAGCTTCAGAGGGACTGTGCAGACCAGCTCTGTGAGGCTCTACTGCATGTCTTCAAACTGTGCCTGAGTCTGAAGAGGGTTCCAGCCCTGTGGAAACTTCCTGTGTGGTTTTTTTGTCTCAAAGACTACAAGCCCCAGGGAGCCCAATCACTTCAGACCTGAGGCCTTCACTTCTCATCTGATGAAGAACTTGGAATTTCCCTTTGTGGGACTAAGAAAGGAATATCTTATCTTATCATCCCTCACGACCTCCGCCCACTGGGGGATACTGGAAAAGTGGGAGCAGACTCACCAGTCCTTATGGCTAACAGACTACTTCAACAACAGACCACAGTATGTGAGGCTCAAGAACTGTGTGTCTGATGTGGTGGTGTGAAGCACAGGAGCCCCACTGGGGACAGTGTTTCCCCCTTCCTCTTAACTCTGTACACCTCCGACTTCAGCTACAACTCTGGGAGCTGTCACCTCCAGAAGTTCCCCGATGACACGGCCATTGTCGGGTGTGTGTCTGAGGGGTTAGAACTGGAGTACAGGACAGGACGTCATGGACTTTGTCAGCTGGTGTGAGCTAAACCACCTTCACCCTAATACCAGCAAGACCAAGGACATGATGATAGACTTCCACAGAAAGACACCCCAGACTGCACTGGGGAACATTCAGGGACTCGATATTGAGAGGGTGGAGACCTACAGAGACCTGAGTGTTCACCTCAGCAAAAAACTGGACTGATCACACAGCACAGATGTCCTGTATAAGAGGAAAGTCATCTGCACCTGGTCTAATATTATTATGATTTTTGTAATTATTATACATTAGAAAGGCACAGTCTTAGTCTAAATCATAATTCAGTGTATTTATACAGTTGTTTTGAATTCTTAATCGGCAGCACTAACTTCACCATGTCATTGCATACTGTGTTAAAAAAAACACGGTATGCAATAACAACAACAACAATGATAATAATAATAACACACTAAATACCAACACTGCCCTCCAGTGCTCAAACTTGTGTATCCCTTGCTATTCCCCCTTCTATTGTTTTATTTTGACATAGTTGGATCTTATTGGCTGAAAATTATCCATTATTTGTCTGGATCAATGCTAAAGTGCAGCTCGGGTCTTCCTGTCAGCTTGGCACAGGTCCACCATAAAGCAGAGCAAAGTAAAAACAAAGCATCTCTGTACCTGAGCTAAATTTTAACATGGAGTGTCTAAGTGATGGAAAAGCTGGATATCATCTATCTTTCAAATATCTATGCTTGTGGGTTTATCATTTAGAAGGTTTGAAATGGCTTATCAGACAAAACTTTACCTGTTGCATGTGTTACATGAGTAAATGTTTGTAGCTTTCCTATCATTTGGTAGACTTACCCTCTTGAATTGAACCCATCCACCTAAATAGCCTGGGATGATCCCTCTTCCCAATGAGCACAATGCTGCCCTCTGCTGTCTATTTATCACTGATACAGATAATGTAATATCAGTTGTATGCAAAGACAACTGTGATTTATTTCTAAACTTTATGTGGATGAAGTAGAATGAACCTATTAAAAACCCCATCAACATTGTGTACCCCCACCCCCTACTAGACCTAACAGTTAATATCAGCTACATGGTTGACTTTTCAAAGAAAGTTAGCATTCATTTTGATCAATTAGCTGGTAACACTTTACAACTTAAACCATAACTTATAAATGGTAAAAAGACCGTTTATAAATGGTGAGCAGATAGTTTGTTAATGTTTAATCATTATTTATAAATACCATATAGACCATAAATTAATAGTAAATTTTACAATTTTAAATACCTAACCCTAACTTTACAATAACTATTTAAGTAATGTTTATATGTGGTTTATAAACTACTTATTAATCATTTACAAAGTGTTACGAACATCAGTTGCAACTTTACAATAACATCTAAGTAATGTTTACAGATGGTTTAAAAAACAAATATTAACCATTTACAAAGTGCTACTGACACATATTTTAATCTATATTTTTTACAACTAATATTTAAGCCGTATATAAACCTTTAATAAATAGTCCAATAATAATTAATGAAAATTATTAATCATTATTTTCTTTGCTTGTCAATGGTAAAGTAACTATTATCTTACATCAACAAACTATCTATTTGCCATTTATAATTGGTCTATATGCTGTTTTTAAATGATGATTAAAAATTAATAAACTAACTATTTACCATTTATTAATTATGGTCATTGTAAACTGTTACCAAATATCTTGTTTGACACAGAATGAAGAGTCCTATGACTTCTTTTAATCTTATTTACGACCACCCTGCTTACTGTCAAGTAAAGATAGTTCCTGAGGGGCGCATTTATTTTATCTGACAACTATCCTTTTCTTTGAAAACCACTGAGGGATGATGAAGGGTCAACATATCAAATAAACAAGAAGTTTCCTTGGAAACATTTTCTTTCCTCAGAATAGCGGAAACGCTACAAACTTCTACTGCAGAGTCTTCCTCCCACAGGTCCCGACTGCCGTTGACAGACGCCTGCATCAGCCTCTCATAAGATGCAAAGCGTCAGCATCGTGATCCTTCCTGCTCACCGTCCAATCAGAGGAAATGCTCGACATTTGCGACGCCACACGGACCGTACAGGTCGCCATGATGGTGAGGGATGAAAACTCAGCGCTGTGTTGGTCTGTATTCGTCACACGGTGATAAACACCTGCAAGTGTCACCCACTGCCAATGTATCTGACCTTTTCTCAACTCCTCTGTCATTCTGCCTCATACCGATAGAAAGGTGCCATTTATAAGTTAATATGAATATAAAAAACTCAAAAAACAAACTCGTTTTTGTCAATTGTAGAGGTGAATCAGTGCCATTGCCCATACTGGTAATGATGTGCATGATAACTGTGTCAGCTAATACCCTGGTGTGTCAATTTTTTACAGTATATTTCCCCTCTCCTTTCCTCTCTTTTTATCTCTTTTCTCTGCTGGCCAAGGGTTTCAACTTTAAAGTATTATTCTCTGTATCATCATAACAGTTCAGCTACAATTACAGAATATATTAGCACTGTGCGGTTTTAATGTTAGAATATTGACCTTAAAGAAACCTGTACCTGTCATAGAAATTTTTATCACTACACTAAGCCTAAAAATATGATAAACAAAAATGCACTGATTACCTATGGTCAATGATATGGTGTGGATCCAGATACCAATAAGTTCAATAGTAGAGACAAAGCCAAGTTAATGCTTCAACAACAGTTTGAAATGACTATTTACTCACAGTGCATTTAATATATTTCAATAATTTGTTCCTTATACTCTTGTACTGTCATTTAAACAATTGTGAACGAAGCATTGTCACTAAAAGTTTTGAAATTGAAGTGATTAAATTAGATTGCATCATCTTCACTTACTGTCATTGTACAAGTACAAATAGGTCTACTGAACAACCACCCTTTCCAAAAAAATAAAAATAAAAAATAAAAAAATAAAGAGGCAGACTCAGTTTGACGCTGCAGCCAACAACAGTGTTAGCATAAGGACCAGGCTACAAAACCAGGTGGGGTTGGGTGAAAAAGGCTGATAAAAGTTGAGGAACTTAATGACAAAGCATGGTACCCAGATGCACAGTATGATCCTATGTGGTGATTTGACCTAGACTAACAACTTAAACCACGATTGGCTGATTGCCCTGTAAAGGACTGCACTTAAAATAGACTGTTTGGGTAGTTTTTAATAAGTCATTAGTAACTCTTTGTTCAGTGTAATACGCTGTCTTTATTACTGCAAATGTTGACTTTGGCCAAACATCTACTTTTTTTCCCTGAAAGCTCCTATGAGAAGTTTTTATGTTAGGTTTGTTACGTTAACAAAACAGACTAAAATTCAGATTTATATCTTTTAATGAGACACAAAAGCAAACAAAGCCAGCAGCAATAAGACTTTTTAAGAGAATTTTTTTTTGCCTTATTGTATTGTTATTGCAGTAGAAACAGTCTTTTTTTTCAAACTTCCACATAAAATATACACAATAAATGAACCATTTGACTGTCAAAAATCAGCAGGATGAGATTTGTTGTCAATAAATACTCAAGATTGTAGTAGACAAGACAAATAAGGACTCTAAAATTGATACATACCACCAGAATTGGCCAATTTCTGCCAATATTATTGATTGTTGATCGTTCACACACCTTCACAAATCTCTTTAACATTCCATGACATGCAAACATACCTTTATCTTGGCGTTTTCTCTCTTCTTCCTCTTTCCTTTCTCTGTTCCTGAAGGATATGTCCTTTTTGCATTGTTTTGCCCCACAACTACCTACGCTTTGGATGCTCAGTGCACATTGCACAGCATGAGGCACATTACGGTAGCGGAGCTTTGACATATCAGCAGTAACAATCATAGTCCTACATCAGTAGCAGCACTAAAAGGTTTTCACTTTATTTTATTTTTACAATAATATATGTTTGATCATACAGAAAGCATCACTCATACATGCAAAAAATACAAAATATTTTAATTAGTATTTTTTGATTGCTCTTAGGGGCCCCCTATTGGCCGTGGGGCCGTAAGCAGGCCCTTAGTTCGCTTATGCCTTGGGCCGGCTCTGCATACCACAAGTTCCTCACAGGAGCTTTAAAGAATTAAGATCAGTAGACGTGTGTTACCCTTCAAGTTAAAATTTTATGCAAAGATATACCCCCTTTAAAATTCCTGCATAATAGAAGTCGAACAATGTGCAAGGAATCGGGGGATAACTCTGATAGTTAGTGCCTGTTTGCCTTATCTGGCCACCCCAACAAAATCCCAAGCCCCAGTGCTTGGCCACCCTTCTCAAAAAAGTCTGACTCCGCCACTGGGTTATTAAATCTTAAATCACACTATATTGAAGTGAGATTTACTTCATATTGTGTTAATTTACATATAGTGGCACAAAGGAGGAGGTTGTCTATTGTTTCTCTGTAGCCAATTGACTTTCAAAGGTAATCGACCAATCACAGTTTACGTCAAGACACCTTCCTCCTCCCACTGGCCTATAAAATCGCGAGCACCAACTAATGCTCACGCCGTCGGCAGGAGTAGCCTACCAGCCGTCTGATATCATCTGATCATTATTTCTGCATACACAGCTTTCACATTTCACCGTCCTCAGACTCGGAATATATCTTGTTTTTCAGAGAAATCATGGCGGACAGTCAAGTGGAAAATAACAAGGAACTAAGGGCTAAGGTAAATACAAAGGAAGGAGGCAAGAAAATCAATGTCTTAACTCCTGCCTCCTTTCAACGCCGTATCACCAATTTGTCTATTTTGAGAACATGCGGAAAAGAGCAGTTTTCCTTTTAGTCGTGATCCAACATTTGCTTGTGAATGGCAAAAATTATGCATGTATCAGCTGTATACTCTATTGTTGTCCAAATGTCTAAGGGAGATGGATGGATGGGGATGAGGACAGGCTGCCTAAGGTGTTGGTGCAGGAAGAATCAGCTTTGTTCACCTCCTCCTTGACTCCTTAAAAAAGTTATTTTGTAGTACTGTCTATCTGTACCTCAAGTTTGTTCTCCGTATTTTTAAAGAACATTGTTGCCTTTTCTGTCTAATGCAGGCGAGTTATTGTGGTTCGTGTTGATCTGTTCCAACTCTCCCAAAGATGTGCCAACTAAAGCGGTGAAGTTACGCATTGAACTGTTTCTCTGTCATCTATGAACCAATTTTTTCAAGACGAATCTTGTACATTTAAAACAATGGATTTTCGAAACACTGGTGGGTGGAGGGCGGGGGTATTTGAGTCAAGTGTGAAGATAGGGACACGCTTATTCGTGTTACCCTTCAATACCGGCTTAGGCTCATTAGTCTGTAACCCTGATTGGTGACGCGACAGTACGATAATCTTCATTTATTAATTTGAGCTCCGGCTGTGAGCGCGCACGGATCCTTTTTTAGTACCCTATTGATATTGTCGCGGTGAAGGCACAGGCAGCATGTTATTAAAACGGGGGGCCAAAATGTGCCCCGGTGTTGTGCCGTAGAATGCACCCCCTTCATCCCAGCCACTCATTAGCTTTTTAAAGTGGAAGGAAATGATCTCATGTTAAAAAAACACGAATATTGGGTCATGACAACATGTCAAATGGAGCAGCAAACTTTCTTTCTGTTTTTATGTGTCTCAAAAATGCACATATAGAGATGTACTAAACTGTACAGTAAGCTGTTAAGATAGAGAACATTATATTTTCGGGACAGCTAATATTCCGAATCAGAGGGCTAGTGTTTAAGGCTTATCTGAATAGCCTTAATGAAATCATTAAAGGCACACGCGTTTGAATCCACTCAACGGTAGGGAAAACTTGGATTATTTCGCCTTGTTAAGTACTTTCAACCGCGCTCCCGTGAGGGGGGCATTCTACGGCAGGGGTGCATTCTAAGACACAACACCGGCTCCTCTCTCGGTGTCTTATTGACCGCGCTCTGGCATCTCTCCATCCCTGCTCTATTAGGTTGGTGGTTCCGATGTGAGACTTATATCTTGTTTAGTCCCGCACGACCTTGGCCCGGTGACAGCTAGAAATTAAGTGTTCAAAAGTACGACATAAGCATACAAAGCGGAGATATATGTAGAGGCTATGGATGAATAATACAAAACCAGTGCTTTTCTCTGGTCTGTCACCTGGGGAACTGGTGCGCGAGGGGCGCGTGCTCGCTGTGCACAGTTTGTCTGGCTGTCGCGCGCACACGCAGCTGAATGGAGTTAGAACACAAGCGTCTGGGAAAGCCTATTACAGGAGAAGACGGGTAGAGGGTAGACTGGCTAATGGTTTTCGGGGATTCCTAAGAGAAAAGATGGAGTAGCTACTGTATTGACCGATCAGAGAGTGAATAGAGACAGCAAGGAAGACAACACTGGAAACATGGCTTAATTATAAGTTATTGTGTTTAGTGTCACACGCTTCCTGGTGGAGAAGCACTGGACTTTTTTGTGTCTTTGCAGAAGCAAAGCAGGTTACTTGCCTTAGCATTTGCTCTAAAGAAGTCACGGGAGTGTGCTGTAGGGGAGAGTGGGGTAAGTTGAGCCAAGGGGTAAGTTGAGCCACCCCTTGTTGCTTGGAAATGGTAAAAGAAATTGGTCATGTGACCAAATATTTAGGAGATGGGCATCAATTCATGGAGTCTGTTAAGGTTAGAAGCACATGGGTGAAGGGGTTAGACATTTATTTCTAATAAAACATTTTTTACTCTTCTAAGTGAATTTAGTCTGTCATAAGTTTTATTAGAATTGTGTTCCGACCAAAAAAGATCATTTTAAATTTGTTTTATACATCAATTGTGGTATCTATGAGCTACAACATGAGGTCAAAAACCGAGCATAAAAGTCCACCATTTTAGCTTAGAGGACTAATAAAGTCATCATAGTAGTTCTGGGGTAAGTTGAGCCAGTGGCTCAACTGAGAAAGTGAAGGAGTCTGATGAGAGGATCAGAGTTTCAGTTCAGATTGTTGAAATGTTTTACATTTTCTTTTCAAAAATACAGCTGTGAATGTTCTGAATCACTTAAAGACATTCTCATGTTAAAATGGCTTTTAACAAAACAGCTTTTTAGCAGTTATATGCAATAATAATAAAAAATGATAATTGTATCAGTTGAATAGCGTATAATAGATAAAAATACTCATGAATGTGAAGAAGTGACTGTTATTAAGTCATGTATTTAAGGTGAGGGAGGGCTGGGGTGGAGAGTGTGTGTGTGTGTGTGTGTGTGTGTGTGTGTGTGTGTGTGTGTGTGTGTGTGTGTGGGTAGTAGGGATATGGCTCAATTTACCCCGCTCCTATGGTCAACTTACCCCCATACACAGGGTAAGCTAAGCATAGGAGACCACTTTTTTGGCATGATGTATTATCAAGACATTTATGTTTACACTCATTCTTTTGGTTTGCAGTGATGCACAACATCTTGAAATATATGCAGATTCACTAGTTAGAGACAGAATTATGATTGTCTTGATATTGTGATCCGAAATATGAAAAATGTCTCATCTTACCCCACTCTCCCCTACCTGCTGCGCTGCTGGCAGATGTTGATGCAAGGTTTCTACTCATGGTTTAAAGATTTACGATTTCTCCACACAAACTGCAGTATGGTTAGACGTTGAAAGAAGTCATCCAGCCAGAAAGTCAGGAGGAGCTTGGAGAGGACTGACAAATAGGGGCTCTGGGTTCGGAGGCTTTAGACATCTGTATGAGGCAACGTATCCTGCCCAGCTTCACAGACCTGAAGTGGGTGGAGAGGTTTTTTCCCATTAACAACAACAAATCCTATTGACCGTTCTTCAGTTCAGCAGGCCCAACCCCCTTTTACAGTTTTAATACATTTTTACTCCTTAAATCATATAAAACCTCTCAAACCTTTTTTTTCAGAGCATTGTCTATTCAGAATAAGCTGAGCATGAAAATGAATCTCTTAATATCAGATAGGCAAACGTAACTTAACCTTAAGATGCTATCATGGTTACACATTTGTTTGCTGATATAATCTGAATAAAGAGTGTTTTTGGACCAGGTCTAGTCTATGTTTGTATCTCTGTGCTCAACACAATGTATCATCAAAAGCACACTAGATGTCTGCAAAGTTTGAAGAAGAACTTGATTGATCCCCGAAGGGAAATTCAATGGTTGACCATAGACCAAAAATTGAACCTATACTGATCATTTGTCATATATGTGTGTCTAAGAATATTTCTCATTTCAGGAGCTGAAGGAGAAGAAACAGGTTGAGGAAAAGAATGGGGATGATGCTGCTGCCAATGGAAAAACTGTAAGAACACACACACATAAACACGCACAGTGTGTGGAGCACCAGCGTTTCTTTTTGTCTTCTGGTAATCAGTATAACTTTGTCTTGCTGTGGCAGGATGAGAAGAATGGTGAACAGCAGAATGAAGTCGAAGAGGATGAGGATGATGTTGGAGAGGATGAAGATGAGGATGGAGAGGGTAGGTTAATACAAACCATGCTTAAACATCTACAGTGTTTGTATGCACATACCTGTTTATACTGGTTCCCTGTAAACGTTTTCATCCCAACTCAGGTCTGAGGTTGATGGTCAGACTGGTAAAAAAAAATACCAGCACATTAAAAAGGGGGAAATGGACCCCACCCACTTTATGGGGATGCTGTGTTAAATATTAATAAAACAGATTTTGAAGGTTTGAAAATCTTCGATCAAACCTCTTAAGTATTCATTTGATATAAAGCTGTGCAGAGACACTTTTTCAAATGTTGAAACTGAAAAATGTAACTCTTGTAAAAATACTTATTTCAAATTTGATGCTAAAAGGACATTTCAAAAAAGTTAGGACAGGGACTATAAAAGTGAAAGGTTAGGAACATGACTTGTATGTTAGAGGCTTGGGTTCTGAGGGGAGGTTTTCTACTCTGAGACTGTGTGGTTCAGCAATTTTAGAATGATGTTTCTCAGCATAAAATTGCACAAAATTTGGGAATTTGATTATTTGATTACCACTATTTTTCAGAATTTGGCTTTGGTCTCAAGTTGAGTGTTTGGATGACGCATGAATTAAGTTTGAATGGGGGGAAACAGGCAGGCAGGACCCTCCATCAGAGCCTTCCTCTGTAGGGTTAGCCATACGTTTGCAACACATCATGCAAATGCACAATGCAAGTTCTGTGGAAAGATGTTGAGAACTTACACTATCTCAACAGGAAGAATATAACAGGAGTGTTATAATATTAATAAATACACTTGAAATATAAATAATGTACAGATTCATGTTAAGTATTGTAGAGACTGTTGTTCAGCGGTAACAAATAGTCAATTCATTTAGACTATGAAGAGCTGGAGGCAGGGATTCTTGCAGAAAATGGCAATAGATAGTCATGAGAAAGCACAAGACTACTGAAAAGAGGGTGAAGAATAACATCCAACTACGGGATCAAAATGCATATTGAACAAGACAGAAATGAGAGAGGAGTTGAGTGCAGCACTGGATTTGTCAGCAGGGCATGAAGAGAAAGTGTCCACTCCTGCAACCATTTGGGAAGAGTACGTTACAGATCTATGTTCAAGTCAGATCTGAAGGAGAGAAATCCTGACTGCGGCCCTCTACGCCTCCACCAGCAAAAATAACAGTATCCATCATTGTTTTAATGTCATTGCCGCAATGCTGTGTGCACTACATAGTAATGCAGATGGATCATGGGTTGGGACTCAGTGTTTTATGACCTAGGGTGTCGTCTTCAGCTTTATGTCCATTAAACAACTCATGGATGTTTGTGCAAATTTAGGTGATGAAGAGGAGGACGAAGACGATGATCTTGATGGACCAAGAGGGAAAAGAGCAGCTGATGACGACGACGATGATGATGAGGTATGGAAGAGTTACCATGAAACATGTGTTTGGTAATAGAGGATGCAGTAATAATAAAGGACAGTGTAAGATCTGCCACATCAGCGAAGATCCTGTCTGGGTACTACTGAATCTCACTTAGTTTTTTTTTTTTTTTGTTTTACTCATAGGATGAAGTTGAAACCAAGAAGCAGAAGACTGATTAATAGTCTGTGATGCCTGTTCTGTTAAGAAAAGGGAACCATCAAGAGACAGTCAGTTTTACAGCAAACCTTCAAACACCTCAGTCGTCCCTTCTTGACAAGAAAAACTTTTATTTGTATTTTATTTAAATTTGATATTTTTGTAAATAGTTGAAGGAGGTTGGCCATTTTGCAACAATAATCTCTCTAAGTATAAAGTGGTGCTTTTGAGACTTTCAGATCCTGTCTACAGCTCTTCTTATGAACTAACCAGCGGCACAAACACCACTCCTACACACCTTGGACTTCTTTATTACAGTGTAGGATTTTGGGGTAAATACAAGCAAGGCGTGTTGACTTTTTAGCCACATGGGACCATAACATTATCTTAGCATTTCTTAGAGTGCTTAGTTTGTATTAATATTTTGTATAAGATTGTAAGGCTACCATTCCTGCTGTTTGTTTGTCTCGAATTGTGTGCCTGTAATGGTCATAGCCATACGTTTTTATGTCTGTTATCCAGTTGAAAGACAGTCAGTGTATTTTTTGCTCTGACTGTGTTAGTTTCCATTACTTTTTACCGCTAAATATGACATATTACTGATGCGTGATATGTTCTTCAAAGAGAAGTATGAAGATGTCATTTCCTCATACTGGCCATGTTTCACAGTTGAAAACGGTCACCACATTGTTGCTGATTTCTCTGTTTGGAAAACTAAGAAACCACATTTGCTTGATCAGTAAGGCTGTAAGTCACTTTTTAAAAATAGTTATTTTACTTTGAGTCAAGGATTGTAGAACACAACCTGGTTTATTTACACATAGTGGCTCTGTATACTTTCCATTTAAAAACATTCACACTGTCAGGTTGCACTTTTTCTGGTCGACAGTTTCAATAAAGTTTATTTAAAACAAATGTGATGGCGCATGCATTTTATTTACATCTCACACATTCTTGGTCGACTGTGCCTTCCTACAGGATTGCAGCTGTCAGTGACATGAACACAAATAATAAGCTTTTAAGTGATTTTTGTTTTGGCATCATGCAATATAAGGAAGAGCTTTAAGATTCAGAGTGCTTAATCAAACTGAAGAAACTTTACCAAGTCCTTCTCTATTACTGTCAGTAGTAATCTGTCGGTTCATTTAATTAGCAGACTTTTGAAATGATGCTAAACCTACACTGCAAAATCAGTGGATGGGCCCTGTTAACTAACCCAGACCCATAAGCAAATAATTTGTCTTACACCATGCTCAGAAGCTAATGAGAGCTGTCGTGTGGACTGCTGGATGAGTTGTCACTTCCATACAGTGTTCTTCTATTGCAGTAAAAAATACACACAACTGACTTTTATCATGTGAGCACAAATAGTGTTCTGAGCTCTAGTAAAAAAATTAAGATTAGGCTCTGTGTTCACCGTGCAAAAACTGAATTTCTGTGTGACAAATTTCAAACGTTTTTTTTTTTGTTTGTTTTAGATCACTAAGTGGTGATTTTAGAATCTGGCAGTGCTTTTCCACCGCACTTGACTTATCATACTGCTCATCCTGTGCAGGGATGCCTGTTCACAGTTTGATCTTACTCTACAGCTTTTAGTGAGAAGTGATTTCGTCATCAGGTCTTTTCTACTGCTGTCCACATCACATCAGATTTGATTGTCAAACATATTTCTGTCATTCAGACATGTACCACACTCTTCTAACCCAAACCTGGTGGCTGAAGTAACACTAAATTTCATAGTTTTTCATTTGGAGGCTAGCTGCATCAAAATAACCTTGAAAGACTTCTGAACACATTAGCTTCAGAGGTCATGAGGGTATACGGCTGCGCAGGTACTCCAACAGTGCATCCGTCCCTTTGGCCACTATGGCTGCTCGTGGTGTGCGGAAAGGATTTCCCTCCAGACTGAGGCACCTTAGAGAAAACACACGTTGCAAATAAGAAAACTGATTTTTTTTCTAAGCCCTTTTTTAAAATCAAAACACAGGACAGGACAAATGACTCAGTATCAGGAACTCAATACACCTCAAGAACATGTAAAAATAAAAGAGAAGAGGATGAACGCTGGGGTAGGTTGTGTCTCATTTTTATGTTATGATCACTAGACTGTATTGTACAACAAAGAAAGTGAGTGCTTAACAATAAATTATTATTTTTTCCTCGGTATCTGGACACTGCAGCTGCAGTTTGTAGTTCTGGATATACAGGATACAGATACACGATAGGGTAGACCTTTTTTTGCACATACCTGAGGGTTGTGCACAGGCCCAGTTCAGGGGGTATATTCAGCAGGTCATTGTTGGAGAGATCCAGTGTTGTCAGATGAACCAACTTAAGAAGGCGAGAAGGATCCACCCCGCCCACTTGGTTATTGCTCAGCAACACTGTATCCAGGGACATGATCTGATAGAGGACTTCAGGGAAAGACTTAAACCTGTGACCAGGAGAAACGGTAAATAGTCAGTGTGCTGGACTGGATATCATATACATTGATGACAGAGATTGCTATGTAAGGTTCCCATCACTATCCGAGACAGCTGTGGATCAATGTTATTGTGGTCTGTCAAACTGAAGGTCGGGGGTTCAATCCCACACTGAAGTATACATGAGCAAAACACTTGACCCCACCAGCCCCTTCTAGCTGCACCTAGGTGGTGTGTGAATAGGATTAGTCAAAAACCTGATGAGTTCCATACATATGATGTTAAAGGGCATTCAGAGGACTAGGGAAAGTGCTAAATAAATAAACACTGTCCATTTTCTATCAACTGATTCCATTTCCATGCTGCTGGCTGCACCACTTGAGGATAATTTGGGGTTCAGTACCCTGCCTCAGGTCTCTTTGATACTTGTGTGACATGTAGACTATGATCAGACCATCAGTCCTCCAAGTGCGAGGACTGATTTCACAGGTAAGTGGCTCAAAAGAATCATAGCAGACAAAATAAGGACAGTTCAATTTTTGGTTCCTGCCTCTCTCAATTCCTCTTGCCTGCCATTGAGAGTGAGTCATCCTGTTTTCAGTACTCAAATCTTTTTCAGCTACCTTTCAAACTCTGGAGCAATCCACACTAATAACTGATCTGGACATTTAATCTGATGTAATAATGAATGTGTTTTTTTTTATTCTAAACCTTTATTAAAAACTCAACAATTAAGTTGTGGATTAAAGAATTTAGCCAGAGACAAGTTTTTTTTTTGATAACACAAATTCCTACAATCATGGAGACACTAGTGAGGAACAGCAGAAGCAATGTTAGCCACAGGTCAAGCTAGAGATCTTCCTACTAGTTTACATGACCGGGAGTCATGGAGAGGTTTGAAGCTGTACACACAGTTTGACATTCATTGCAATTGTTTGAACAGTTAAATTGAGGAAAAAAAACAGTCCTGAAACAGAGAGATACCTGTTGTAATTGAGGGCAATGGATCGTAGTTTAGTTAGGTTCTTCATTTCAGGTGGTAAATCACTTAACTGGTTATTCCTGAAAGTAGATAATGTAGGATTAGTATGAGTAGATGTTTGGTTACAGTTTAATCATGGCAAGAAAAATCAGTCTGTGTTTTATTATTAAATATTTTCTGTAGAATGGAAAATTGATACTAACATAAGATTGCAGCAGACAGCACAGTGGTGTAGACCATGTGGGCAAAGTATCAAAAAATTGATCTTAATAAGACTTTACCTTATCAGACAAAGGATATACAGTATAAAACACAACAACATGCCACAGAACTGGATATTCTTATAAATACACTAAAATTATCCGTTCACAGAATTTCACTAAACATGTCAATCAAGAAGCATAACGTTCTTTATAATCAATAAAATTCACAAAAAACAACATTTCAGAAAATCCAGCAGTATCATGAACCACAGCAACATATTAGCTTCATCCCTGCATGCAAATATCAGGGATCATTTCAGTATAGTTAGTTGTAAGTATAGTTTGTATCATATGACATGGTTATACAATATAGAATCCCAACAGGGAGAGACAAGACCCCCACGCGAAACAGTGTTTTTGGACAAGACTAACTGTATATTACCTCACTTGTTATCTGGCCACCAACTTAAGATACAAACATGTCGGTACAATAAATACTGTATATGAAAAATATACTAAAAGATCATTTCCTTGATTTAGAAATAGTATTTGTATGCAGTAGGAATGTGATGCTACCTGGTCATGTTTTATCACTCGCATTAAATTGAACATTGGCATTAACAGTCAAGTTATCAAAGAGCTGTTGTTGCTAATTCATGTTGTACCTGATTAACTAGCATGCTAACTCAAAAACTAACATTCTTGCCATGTTGCAGCCCAACATGATGCAATGGGAAACTTCCATTTCTGCCTCGCTGTCAACAAGCAAAAGCATAATGTGCTAGGGCTCTTTTCTGCAGATTGATTTGCTGTGACAAACAGTGTCTCATTTGGTTCCATCTGGTGTGGCTCTCCCTATTAAGCACAAGATATCGTTATCAAGCCAGAAGCCCATGTGTGCATACCCCAAGTCCAGGTGCATTAGCTGCAGTAGCTTGCAGATGTCGACAGAGCAGCAGGTGAGTCTGTTGAAACCCAGATTGAGATCAGACACTGAGGACTGAAGCTCCACCAGCCTGCAAACAAAGGAACATGTGTGGTCATTCTGTCTAAAGCACTTGGTGTGGTGAAGTGATGGTGCGTATGGTTGTAGGTTGGTTTGGTGCGTACCTTGAGGGCACTTGGGTCAGATGGTTTTTGCTGAAGTTAACAGTGGTAACGCCTTGATCAGCTGCTGCATCAAACAGCTCATCTGGAATATCAGACGCCTGCTTCTCACTGAGAATAACAAAAACAAAGTCACATTAGGAGTGTCCCCACACTTACTGATTCTCAAAAGTGGAGTTGGAAAGATTTGCTAAAAGAAAGGGAGATGACAATAAGCATGGCTCAGTGACAAAGCAGAGACAAATGTGAAAAAAACATGCACAGATGAACGCCAAACAGACCGAACGGATTTTGTGGTTATGAGGCTGTCATCATAATCATCATCATCAACGTCACGACACGACAGGGCTGACAGTGTTGATGTAGCCAAACAACAAGGAAAGTGGGACAAGGAGATAACTTAGCAGATGAAATTGTCCCCGAAAAAACACAAAACATAAGTATTCTGGCGCTGCATGTCCATCATTTGTAGAAGAGGCAGTATAAAAGAAAACATCTCTTTCTCTCACAGCGTCCCTCTGCAGAGAATGTGACTGTCTGTGGACCTTTCTCACGACAGCGGGACAAAAAGGCATGCAAGGGTAGAGTGAGGGGAGATTGTCCACTAATAGATCACAGATGCTGTCGTTCCCCCAGGCAGGAAAAAAATTAAGAAATAAACCAGATGCAATAAAATCTTCCACTTGTGTTGCTGAGATATTGCCTACATGAGAATTGGATGGAAAAACTTTTCAGTTCATCCTTCAGTGAAACAACGCAAATGATGATTCTAAAATATCCCCTCCTTGAGACACTATGCATGAAAGTAATGAACGAACATGAGGCCACAGTGGTATGATCAACAAACTCTGAAAATCAAAATAGAAGCAATTTTGTCGTTGAGTCCAAGAAGAGGTTTGTGTCGTATTTTCTCTAGGGGGTTCCTGGGATATGCAGTCACAAGAATTAGACATACATATGGATGGACAACCTAAAAATACAATAACTCCTGGAAGAATAAAAACACATCCTGTGTATGGGAAATGGCAGTTTGATCAGATAACAATGGAAGTTCACTTCGGGATAGTTACAGGACACAGATGATGAAATTCTCCCACTCTCATTGAGCATCTTTATTCCAACAACCAATAAGACCTTCCTGTGTTTTTGTTGAACTCTGCTACAGTAGCCCATGAACTCTGACCCCATCAGAGGAGAACTGTAACATAGATTCCCTTCCTTAAATCTTACTGCATTAACTTTGGCTATCGCAAGAGTTTAACAGAGTCAGAGTTGGTTTACTCCGACAACTTCAACACAGTATCACGAATCTCTATGAATTGAAATGTGGTCAATTAGGCTACGTTCATACTGCAGGTTATGATGCACAATTCAGATTTTTTGTTAAATCTGATCTTTTTGTGCAGTCGTTCACATTACAACGACGAATGCGGCATCTAATGTGAACAGAATGCGTCCGTGAAGTCACCCGCATGCGCACAACTGTCTGTTCTTCGTTCCCTTGTCTGCCATTGCTTTCCGCGCCTGTTTGTGTTGGCGAACAATGGTGACGTTCGTCGCATATTGATGACTTATAGGTCGGATGAATGCGACCTGAGCGTCCACACTGCAGTCACATCAGATATATATCTGATTTATATCCACATACAAAAGAGGCCTGGGTTGGATTTGAAAAAATCTGAATTGCACTGTTCACACTCACGTGAAAAAATCAGATGTGTCACAAATGGTTAAAAAATCGGAATTGACCTGCAGTGTGAACATAGCCTAAGAGTGATGTCTAACTGAGCTCCTCAACACGGCGACTAAACTGCTGTAACTATGGTAAATGTGAAATACATAGTACGTTTTATATTTGATGTTACTTTTAAGCTCAACAACTTCACCCAGGATTGTATAATAACATCATTTCAGTAGCTGTAGTGAAATTACAACTGCTGTACAGAAGTAGTTGAAATATAACGTCTGATTACAAGGAAGCAAGAACTCATTTAAGATCAAATATTCTGCATGTGTGATGAGTTTATTTCTTTGGCTTACAATAAATAAATTACATGTTTACCTTAACTTTAAGCTACAACATTACTCACTTTCGCCTCTGTCAGGAATTATTCTTTATCATTTGACTTGGAAAATATCTTACAGTGCAATCCATATCTGAGTTGATGATTCAAGTGCTGCTTGAAATAACAGACTGTTCCAAAAAAAGTTTTTTTCCCCCCTTTAATTTCATTAAGAAGTGAAATTTCCAGATATGCTAGATTCATCACATAGGGATTGTTTTTGTTTGAATCTTGACGATTACGAATTACGGCTCAAGAAAATCAAACACCTGCTACCTCAAAATATTAAAACATTACAAATCACCAATCCCACAAGATTTAAAAAACAGAAATGTTGAAGTTTCATCTTTTGAATTAAATTATGGGGAAATTAACTTTTTGGGGAAGTTTTTGAGCTGCATCTGTACACTATTCTTGAAAAAGCTTTTGTTCTTTGATGTTTACTTTACTTGTGCCACTCTTCTTACCCAGACAGGTCCTGTCTTTCTTTGCCCTCCATACTTTAATAAAGGCTTGTTGTCATAACACATCAGTGGGTTGTTGAATCTTCTCATCTTTCAAACACGTGAACCCAAATCAATTCCCTCTTGCCGTAGTAAAGATGTGGTGTGACGTTTTTTTTCTTGACTCGCATTCAGCAACAGGTGTGTATTACTAACCTGTAGGACAACATCCTCAAGGCTTTAATGTTATGCACATTGACTCCAGCCTGGCTGGGTAAGGTCATAGCTGTAGGTCCTTCATCTGCTGTCTCTGGGTCCTCTGTAACACAAATGCAACAAATTCCCAGAAAGTAAGACTTTTGTGTTTTGCTCACTTACATTTATTGATATGTGTGGAAAAAAATCATTCAAACAATTTGTGTTTTTAATTAAAAATATCAGAGTTTTGTAATCATAGTTATCTTCTCATTTATACCAACCTCTTGATAGGGCCATTACTAAGAAAATACAACCTTTTTTCTGAGGTATACTTTTAATAGGAATAATGAGCTGTCAAAGGATCTGATTAAGGCTACAGTGTACTGTGTCATGGCTGAATAAAGAGTGGCAGGTCTAATAACCTCCTCCTGGGTTGTGCGGAGGAGTGTAGGCCTGTTCATCAGTTTTTTTTGGACATGATCAAAAATCAATTTACAGAGTCTTACTTCCATTTTCTGCCAGTCTGTAGTGATCAGCCCTCACTCTCTTAACTCTCTATTACCCCTTTTTTATCTCCTTGCTGGGCTGCAAGACAGGGGCTGGAGGCGGGGCTATAATAACAGGATTAAGTAACAATGAGGGGCTTTGTAACTCTTGAAATACATGAACTCCATTTACGATATGGACCAACACTAAATCAGTGTCATTTAGGCTGACACAAATGGTTTATAAAAGACTTTTCCATCTTAAAGGAGTTGAATTTTACCTTTAATGTAGTTCAGACAAAGTCAAGCAGTATTTATTGATGAGCATAACCATACAGTTGTTTTATGGAAGGACTTCCAGTCTTTTTAGGTCTATTTACATAATTTATTCAAATTAATTTACAAAATAAAAATGTACATTACCTTTAATTCTTCCTCTCAAATATTTCAGGAGCTCATTGGTTCCTTTCTGTGAGGAGCACAAAGAAGAAGATTGCAAACTTAATGGTATAATGATTTTTTGTTGAAATTAAGCTCTTTCTTCCCCTGGCAAAGTTCTACACAGAGCTAACGTGGACATGGTCTATTGTTGTGTATTAACTGGAAATAGACTGATTATTAGACCGGCTGGTATTAGGCATTTAGCTGATTATCTGTATTGTTCTTTTATTTCATAGATGACCGATAAAATAAAATAAAAAAACAACTTATGCTCGGCTAGCGGTGTGTTTTTCCCTCTGGGTATGTTTCCTGTACCACTTTGTCTCATCTAATGTCCTGCTCGCCACACTATCTGGCTTAATGTCACATGACCACGTGACCCAGCTGTCGTGTAACTTGTTAACAATCAACTGCTGACTACACAATTGCTGAAGGTGTTTAGGTGAAGTTTTCCATCAGAGGTAATCGTGCTCCAAATCTCAAGTTTTGACCAAATTTTTTTCATTTTCACTTTTAAATACAAGTCATCAGTCCCCTCAACTACTAGTGATTGGTATCAGCCCCTGAAAAAACAATATTAGGCCACTCCTAGTACAAGCTAACTGCAGCTAATGCTGGCAGGGTAAACTCTGAGGTGCTCATGGAGTAATACCCATGAAGTAGTCGTTGGTTTCGACTCCTGATCACTACCCTTTGCTGAATGACTGCATTAAAAAGTAACATCCAAGCCAAATCACAGCATTGTGGCCTTCCCCTCCGTGGTCTTCTTACAGCGCACATATCTGTGTTTGTGATTTATTTTGTCACTTACTGTGAGTAGGTCTCTTCGGATTCCTCGCATAGGGTTCCCCTCCAGCAGTAACACTTTTATATTGGGCAGCAGGCTGAGAGATGCTGGAAGACTAGCAGAAAGAGATCCAGTACACGTTAAAGACTTGCACGTGATTTTTATTCCACGAGCTGAGTCCACCTGGTGAACTTGTCTTGAGTGGAGAATAACTACAACGTGCTCTGCAAAACAGGCAAACTGGTTCGTACCTGCTTTAACATTTTATTCAGTTGCTGAGTGTAGCTGATGGGTTCAAAAGGTCAACTGCGATAGATGGTCATGGAGTCAGTGACTTACGTAGAAATGTCATTGTTGGTGAGGTCAAGGCGCGTCAGCGAGCTCAAGGCAGAAATCTGCTCAGGAAGGGATTTGATCTTGTTGTCCCTGAGCTCTAGCAGAGAGATGGCCGTCAGACAAGCAAGATGCTCCGAGTCCAGCTGCTCAATCTGGTTGTTCCCAACATATAACTCCTACACACAAGTGTGAGAATACAAACAGACCACAAGTAACTTTGAGATGGCTACATATTTAATGTCAGTATATCACTTTGGAAGCAACTGCAGTAGAAAGAAACAATAACTGTGTAAACTCTCATGTTGCTAAAATTACCTTGAGCATGGGTGCAGTGAGCTTCGGGAAGACGCAGAGCTTATTGTGTCTGAGGTAAAGCTGCTCCAAAACAGGCATCTCTGATAGGCTGGAGGGGATGTCTGTCAGCTGGTTATTGCTGCAGTCCAACATCTTAACATCTGTCAAATCAAGTCGTAATTCAGACAAGTACAAACTTTCCCTTTTGAGATTGAAAACAATGCAAAAAGAAGTTCCTGGAGAGAAATGAGTGAGATCTTTCAAAGAGGATAGGCCACAGGCTGCAGGCTTTCGTGATTTGACGCACTGTCCTGATCACACCCTCTTACCAAAAGTCACATCTGAAGGATTTTCTGAGTAAAGCCAAAAACACACAGGATGTGTATTGGGTGCGTCCTGTCAGCGTCAAGTGCTACGCAGCAAATATATTTCCAATGAGGCATCGCACACAGGATGTGCTTCCAACACATGTCAGTTTTCACAGAGCAGATAGCATCAGACAGGAAGTTGGACGCCAGGACGCAACGGTGACAGAACACACCCAACGGCTTAAGTTAAAGGGCAGTTTGTTTAACAGTCTTGGAGCTCAACCTCGCAGAGTGACAATATGATATTTCCAACATCCAGTATGATGTAATATGTGATCTAATATTACCATATAAATGTGTTTGGGTGTGGACCTTCATTTTGCATGATGTGTTTTCATCAGATTTACAGATGTTTAAAGGACACTTGGAAACGGGCCAAAAGCAAGCAGCTTTTGCCTTTTTTATTGGAGGATTTGCACCACAAAGTTACAAGACTCTTTTGGGTCTCAGAAAGCTGTTTTGTGCGAGATGCAAAAACTGTCTTTGAGGGTTTTGTTTTTTGAATAAGGGTGTAAAAATGTATTGCATTTTCTAACATTCTGCACGCTAACAGGTTCAAGTGCACACAATAAAGGGAAATAAGCCGTAAAGCATCGATTTTTCTTTGTCCTGTTGAGTTTTTTTTCCTTCACCCTAGAAAATGGCTCATGAAGATATTGTGTTTATATACTTTAAAACAGTACAGTGTGCAGAAGATTTCTAAAAGACCAACATGAACATCAAAATTACATCCACAGAGGTTTTGAAGAAATTTAAGTTTTACTTTTGAGCTGGGCCAGGCTCCCAGGTAGACAGCTGAGCTTGTTCTGGCTCAGGGTTAGTTTCTGCAAGCAGGTGAGGTTACCCAGGCTGGAGGGAAGGTCCTTCAGATTGTTGGTGGACAGGTCCTTGAACCAATCGTAGGACAAGGACACAGTGAGCTGATCATACCACACAGTAAAAGCATCTTACAGGATTGTAACCACCACAATCTTAACTGAATGGTTTAGTTACCAGCTCAGAGAGGTTCTCCAGTCTTCCAAGTTCCTCTGGTATGCTTTCTAGCAGGTTCTCCCTGAGGGTGAGGCTGCGCAGGTTCTTCATCAAACACACCTCAACCGGTAGTGTTTTTAGCTGGTTATGACTGCCATCAAAGACAAACAAACACATCAAATGAAACATTAGTTTATTTGGAGTAGAATGATTGTGTGTATCCAGTCTTGACAACATGACTTAAAATGAGGGCAGAATCAACATAAAATCCCAGACCAAACAGCCACCATTGACAAAAATTAGGGTGGCTATAGTTCAGCGGTTTAGTCTGTGATCCTCAATCTAAAGGTTGGCGGTTCGATCCAAGCCCCAGCAGTCAGATGTCAAAGTATCCTCCGACAAGCCACTGAAACCCAAAATTGCTTCTGGTGGCATGTGATTAATAATACTAATGGGCATTTTATATAACCAGCTCTGCCATCAGTGTATGTCTGTGGTGTGGATGGGTGAATGTGTTGTCATATCAGTTTGTGTGGTCTTAGAGATGAATGGTAATAGGTCCTCACCCTTAAATCTTACGCATGGGACTAAGCACGGTTGTTGCACAAGTCTATATTATTTAACCCACGCTGGAGCCTTTAGCCATCAGTATAAGGCAGAATTTTGTTATTCAGCAAATAAAAGCGGGACTTCAAATATGAATTGTTTCTGTACACAGATGATTTATCAATTTTTCTGTTGGTCAAGCACATTTTGAACAGAAAATCTGGATCCTCTTGTCCTTGAATCTCTTCCCTGTGTAACTGCCAAGGAGCAGTTGCCATATTTTGGCTGGTTTCTGCCTGTAAATCTGTTGCTCTCATTCAAAACGTTTTCTGTTCTCAGCTATAAAAGCTTTAAAAACAAGGCACCAAATTTCCCTCTCTCACTCATAGCGCAAATAAATGCGATGAAAATGTTGTCGCTACTGAGGTTTTAGTATTTGTTTTAAAATATTCAAGTTAAGCCTCCTTGGTCATTCCTTTAAAAAACTTGATTCAACCTGTAGGAGCTAGGGTCTAAATTTAGTTCTTTCTTGGGAGTCCAGGTTAAATTTAGCCATTTTTCAGACACTGACGCAGCGGTTTGGATTTGGGATTTTTTTATACATTACACTTGAAGGCTTTTCTATTATCACATCAGCTGAGGATCTGTGGTGCCTATAGAGAAACTTTTCCGGGAATACTGAGGACAAGGCTTCCCCTAATTGAGCACTTACAGCCAAAACTCTCCACAAAACAAGGTCTGACATCAAGGATTTTTCAGCTTACTCTGCAGGACCAGAACTCTTTTAAATCCATGTGCCCCATACAAATACTCTTCTGATCAAACACCAGAACTACATTGAGTGAGTGAGAGTGTGTATACCTTAGTCGCAGTTGCTGAAGCTCCTGAAGTTCCCCTAAAGCACCAGGTAAACTACTCAGCTGGTTGTCATGGAGCTGCCGGAGAGAAATAAAACCTTAAGGTGGATAGCAAAATTTTAATCTACCATATTTCATTTACTTTGATTGTGTTAATAAAAATGATGAATTGACACTGCCATGCTACTTATTAAACCATGAACGACTAAAAAGCTACTGAATTAAGATTTGACCACATTTAAGGAGTTCCCAAATGATGGTATATTCCAATAACCAGGTCCATTTTTTTCCCCAGTAAAGTCTTTCGTACTCAGGCACTTTTTTGTTAGCTTAATTTGAATACAATTTTTTTACACAAGTTGTGTTTATTCCTGTTTCATTTTGAGTGAGTGTGACTATTCCTTAGATTCTGCTGACAAAAACCACACCCACTATGCCCTACAAGCTAAATGCCAATAGGCCATATTCATTACTGCAATCTGAAGACAAAGATTAGAGACAATAGAAACTAAATGAAATGGAAAACAGATAATTTAATTAAAGTATTCAAAGCTTCAAGTAGAAATAATAATATTATGAAATTTTAATGTCAAGTTAATATAGTATTTGGGGTTTTAAGGACTGGAATATACGACTGCAACTGCACGGCACACAGAAACATTACACCTGGCCTTTGTAGACCAGCAGATCCCTGATATAAAATGGTTCAGAAATCATGGTCAGAGGCATTTTACAGTAAACTCTTAATAAAAGACCATTAGGCCATGACCCTTACAAAAACTGAGATCATGAGCTTGATGAGTGAAGAAAGGCCGTCTTTCAATTATTAACCGTGGCAGATTTGCTTTTCTGACCCAGAATATAGGAAAAAAACTCAGTGAGTTCACCCACAACCATCCATACATCCTGTACAGTTAGGCTATAACCAAATCAGTTTGTGTAAAATCTGAACAGTTATAACTTTTTGAGACTAACAGCCTGTCTCATATAAAGGTCTGCCTCTAATAAAAGCCTGTCTCATATAAAGGCCTGCCTCTAATAACAGCCTGCCTCATATAAAGGCCTGCCTCTAATAAAAGCCTGTCTCATATAAAGACCTGCCTCTAATAAAAGCCTGTCTTATATAAAGGCCTGCCTCTAATAACAGCCGGCCTCATATAAAGGCCTGCACCTGAGGCAGTAAAAACAAATCAAAAACCCGGCCTGTATTTAAGGATTTACAGTTAACAGATATCTAAAATGCTTCTTCCCAAAAATGATCTTTGTTAAACGACTGCATCACTAATTTAGTAGATTTATTAATGTCTGAAACAGTTTTACTTACATCCAGGGTAATAAGTCCAGGCAGTAGTTTGATGTCATCAGACAGTTCTGTAAGCTGATTGGATGAAAGCAGCAGTTTTGTGAGGTCACTCTGTTCCCACCAGCAATCGGACTCACCGAAGGATACACTCTGCTTTGCCTCTTCAGGTGTGTCAATGTTTAGTCGATACACATTCTGAGGGACTGAACATGCATTGCTGCTGTCATTTCACAGACACAATCATATCTGTTTAAATGGTCAAATAAAAATGTGTTTTTAATGTTGAGAATCATCTTTACGCAGTTGTCATGGACTGTTTTGAAGCTTTTCCAGTTTCTGGTTTGCATATCATTTAAACCCTATTAGTAAATTTAACATTTAATAGAGTTTATTTTCACTGCTGTCTGTTAAGAATGAGGTTTGAACGGTTTACAAACCCTCTTATTCTGTTCATACTGGCACATTACACAGGGTCCCAACTTAATTGAAAGTGATGTTGTAAAACACTTGTGACACTTGAATGAGTTGATACCAGTCCGCATATACTCATGTACACTCACCGGCCACTTTACCAGGTACACCTATTCAATTATTTGGTAGCACAAATAGCTAATCAGACAATGACATAACAGTACTCAATGCATTTAGGGCTTTAAGTGACTCTGAACCTGGCCTGGTGGTTGGTGCCAGACAGGCTGGTCTGGGTATTTCTAAGACTGCTGATCTACTGGGATTTCAACACAACGATTACAGAGAATGGTCTGAAATAGGGATGCACCAATCCAATATTTGATATCTGTATCAGTCCCGATACTGAAGAAAATTCTAGATCTGGTATCGTGACAATGGGCCAATGCATAGGGGCCGATCTATTCAGTCTAACTCTATGCTATGCTGTGAGTGGCATCCACAAGTGAACACGCTGTGCCAATGCCCACATTGTTTTCAAAATGGAGTGAGCAAAGGGTCTGCTCTCCTGAACTTTATCACAATACCTCAGCCTACAAGCTCGACGGCCACTTGCAATACCTGAGCAGTAAACGTTCTGAGGGGCAGTGGTAAAACTTCAGGTTACAACAAAAGGTAATTCAGCGCAGCTTTTCTATATCGGAATTGGATCGGTATCGGCCGATACTAATCTGTATCGCTATTGGAGGTGAAAAAAGCGGATCGGTGCATCCCTCGTCTGAAAAAGAGAAAATATCCAGTGTGCAGCAGTTGTGTAGACAAAAATGCCCATTCTCCTCTGTTAATGTCAGAGGAGAATGGGCAGACTGGTTTAAAATGTTGAAACACCACCATTTTCTGATGGCTACATCCAGCAGGATAATGCTCCATGGCACAAAGCTCAAATCATCTCAAACTGGTTTCTTGAACATGAGAATGAATTCACTGTAGGCTACTCCAGTGGCCTCCACAGTCACCAGATCCCAGTCCAACAGAGCACCTTTAGGATATGGTGGGACCAGAGATTTGGATCATAGATCTGCAGCTGACAAATGCATGCACCAGCACCTAAGTGATGTTCTCGTGTCAACATGGAGAAAAATCTCTGAGGTGGGTTTCCCAAACTTTGTTGAAAGTGTGTCATTCAGAATTAAAGCAGCTCTGAAAGCAAAAGGGGGTTCAACCTGGCACAGGCAAGGTGTGCCTAATAAAGTGGCCTGTGAGTGTAGATGTGGGCCATAGGAGAGTCTACTAAATGGGTAGTGTTCGTCGGATCGTGGGAAATAAGTTTTCCTTTTAAGATCTAACCATGTGGGCTAACTAAAGATTAAATTACCTTCTGTCAGTCCTCGTCCGGAAAGGTTCAGCTGGCCGCTTTTTCTCGCTGCCTTCAACAGACCGTAAGGGACGGCCGGTTCGGTCTTTTCCGTCTTGAACCCTTTCAGAGAGTCAGTCTGATTCACTCTTTTGAATCGAGACATTTTCTCTATGTTTAGTTTAACTAAACCTCCACGTACAACACATACAAACTAGTCTTACAGACTCTCGACACCCTAACCCAGGAGGTTCCGCCCGCCAGTGTGATAAAAATATTACTTCCGCCTACAACACTTCAAAATAAAAGTTTTATTTTTACATGTCCTAAACAAGACAAGTCTTCAGCGTGGAACTTTTGAAGCGGGACAGGTCTTTAATTGATAAAAACAATGGATGAGTGGGTTAAGAAAAATACTTTTGGTTAGTTCCTCGAATAAATTATGCTTTCTCTAAAATTATTATTTTTTAAAGATTTAAAGAAAGAATAAAAAGCCAAACTTGACCTCTTAATGTCAAACTATTGACATATATATTGTAAGTTTGTCTTATTTTGCATTATGCAGACAGACATAACTCAGTCCTGTATTACATAGGTTTGAGGACAATTTTAATTGATAGTGTCCTAATCGTGGCATTTCATGGTACACTGTTACCTGTAAGCATGAACCCCAGGCATCCAGGTGTTTAAAGATGTTTCACTTCACAGCTTAACTCACTCTATTAATGTCTAACAAAGCAAAGACTAAATAGAAAAAATGTAAAATTAAAAAAAAGTCTAGAGGGTTAAACAATATTGAACACACTAGATATCACCAGACGGTTGCCATTTACCACATAGCTTTGCTTCAGTCTAGGCCTGCTTCCCTGCAAATTAAAGGCCTTTTGTGTAAAAACACAATGTCAACTGAAGGTGCAGATACCATGTCAAAAGTGAAATTTTAATGTTATTTGCTGTCTAGCTCTGACAGTGCTGTACACCTGGCTACATCATGCCATCTATCATCAGCTTGCAATGAGTCAGGTTTTTTTTTTGCATTAAAGTATTCTGCCGGCTGGAAAAATCTTTATCAGAACTACAAAGCCTGTCTCAGTTCAGTAAATTATTAATTATAGCAATATCAAATAAAATAAATAAAAAAACATTTATTGTTATAACAAGTAAGGCATCATATCTATACATCCCAGTTCAATTTGAGCTTTAAAAATATATAGGTAATAGGTTGTGTAATATTTTTGGTCTTTGTAATGCTTTCACCTTGCTGCTTTTAAACACAAGTAGGCTATTTACCATTTTCAGCTGAATGAGCTTTTATTTTGAATGTGTATTAAAGAAACTTCCGGAAAATGGTCAAGCATGAAATGAACGAAAACATTGGACAGTTAAAAGAGGCAGTTGTGAACAGGGACTAAAAGATTATAACATATTAAACCTGCACTTAAAATCTTGTTCAGAATTATATTGAAAACACTGCCTCTGGTTTATAAAGCTCTACACAGTATAACACCTGATTGTCTCTCACTTACTATAATCCAGTCAGATTTCTCAGATCATCAGGTATGGGCCTGCTAAATGTACAACAGTTAAATGTGTGTATTATTTCTTAATCAGTAATTTAAATCGATTGAGATTTTTTCATCCCTTGTACAGCAGTGTGCACAAAATGGGCTAATCAAACAAAATTGTATTTATTCAACTGACTTTGGCTCCAAAGTAGGATTAGCCAATAATGAGGTCATTTTGGAATAACTCCAGTTAATCAGTCAAATGGAAAAGAAACGAAAGGTTGGACTTTCTTCTTTGTCACATAAATTCATGGTTGACATGTGATGTTGTGTTACCTTCCTACATGAACTTGTAAAACCAGCACTACACATGTTTCATGTAATGAGACCCATAAAGGACAAGCACAAGGTTTAAAAACAAGAGCTGGACTGAGAAATGTGGGAGAAGGGGGATAAGACTTCTGAAGTCCAAGGGCATGGTGAATAAGTGCATAATCTGACAAGGTATTAGAGCTGATATGAGTAGAGGGAGGTTGGTTTGGTGCCACACTTTTATTATTATTATTATTATTATTACTATTATTATTATTATTATTATTATTATTATTATTATTATTATTATTATTATCATTGTTATTATTATTATTATTATTGTTATTATTATTATTACATTCAAATCCATTTCATCTCTCTTTCTCTCTGTGTCAGTTGTGAATATCATTCACTTAAGTTTCAGACTGATAGGTGATCTGCTGAGTGCGTATTTGTGTTCATATTTACTTAATTATGTCATAAGATTATCACAGCTTTTTATCAGTTATAGCTCATGCTATAACACACCTAGATTGTACCAGAGACCTTCCTCTGGACTGTGAACTTTGACACCAGTTATAGTTAGGTGTGTACAAGCTAAAGGTCCACTCTTACTTTACAGTTTTACATTGACTTGATCGGTTGTATTCAGGATGAGTCTGTTTTTTCTTTTGTTGTGTGTGCTCCTCTCTGCCAGCAGCTCAGCTAACAAAGGTAAGACTACATTTTCATTATGAAGTGTCTTAATGTGGGTTTCAAATTCAGATTCTGATCCAGAGAAGTTCAGAGTTCATGACTGTAAGAGTTATACTAAACTCTTTATTTTGGTCATAAATTGCCTTACATACTCTACATAACACACTTATGGTTTATGTATATATACACATCTAGATAAGCGGATGGGTATTCGAGTGGCAGCGGGATCTGAATCAGTGACCCTTCAGCCCTGGCTGACGGGACTCGCAGCTGTTGTGGGCTTCCTATTCATTGTCTTCACCATCTTGATAGTTCACAGGCTACTCAGGAAGAACAGGTCAGCTACGCACACAAACCCACACACACTTATACAACTTTATAGACCTTGTATTAGTGTGATTTGATTGAACAACATTTATTTTGAACAAGGAATGGGAAGAAGTATAAATTGGTTAAACCTCACCTCTCCTCCATCAGTATGACAAAAACAGCCGGTTTCTCTGCATAGATAAGATAATACATCAAACTTATCATTGAGAAGTTACCTTAGTTAAACACTCAAGGCTAATATTTTCAAATGTGATTTACTTACAATATGTCTAAGTGTCGAGTAAATAATAATAATGATCATTAACCAAGCACCTACAAACAAACCACTCTAAATGTGCACTTAGATTTTTATACTCATATCTTTACAACTTTGTCCTATCAGTTACATGCATGCAATAATACTGACAATGCACCTAATTTACAGCTTTGTTGATTCTGTTGACACTTCTTGTTTTACTCTTTTCCAAAACAGGACGCTGTCCTTGAGAATTTTGCATCATTAGACATTATTTTTGCTAAAAGTATAGTACAAGTATTTTGTTAAGATTTTTCAGAGTTTAACTAAGCTTTCAGATGTATTACCAAACGATTTGCCAGCATAGCAACAAGTCCAGAATGAAAAACAGAAGGTCACAGCAGTATTTTAACTCTTGGTTTTAGTGATGTTTCTAACAAGGCCCTACCCAACCTGTCTGCTGTCTGTTTTATTTTGTCACAGGGAGAATGAAGAAGAATGGGGGTATGACAACAAAGTTATGGAGCTGGATGAAGGAGACATCAAACAAACCACGCTGTAGTGAAGGTCACCCTTCTGCCATCAAATCAAAGTCACCTGCTCACTTATGACAAGCGCTTATCCACCAAAAAATACGAGTTGGTTAAATCAACTTGTGTTTTAAGGGCTAGCAAATCTGTTTAAAGCTATGAAGACAGCTTGGTGTGTTTATTGTACTAAAGATGAAGCTTTGCAGATTAACTAATTCATCTTTTTTTCTGTTAATCTCTTTCCTTTGAGAGATTAAAAATAATCCTTTTCATTATGGATTACAAAAGTACAATTTTAAACAGTCTTTGGTTCAACTTTAAATCACTGTTCATGTGAAACTGAGTTTTGCAACTACCTCAAACAATCCTATGAAACTAAAAATCTATTTTAATTTAATTCTGAATTTTGCTGAGGGTTATAAACAATGTCATAGAATTTCACTTGTTTAAGTTTGTGTTTTAGCAACTTCCAGCATGTCTTGAAAACTGTTGAACTGCTATAGTTTTCTGTCACCACCAGAGGAACCCATAACACAACTGAAGACCTCCAAAGTCAGTGCTGTATAAATTATACAATGACTTCCATCACTACTGCTCTGATTACAAAACATATTGTCTTTCCATTTCCTTTGTTGTGACATGTAATTTATGTTAATAACTTTAACTTAACTCTGACTTGTATATTTTATTTAACATTGACTGTCAGATCAGTATGTCTGTTCAGTGCTGGGATATCCTTTATTTCTTCTTGGTAACCAATGGATAAATCAGAGGTCCTGAAAAATTCCAAGAGGCTGTGTCATTATCAGAGAAAAGTTGATGAAATCATAGATTACTTTTGTGTGTTTAGGCAAACAACACCCTGTAACACTCTTTAACCACTGTATCAACATTGTTCATGGATCCTTGATTCATACACTACACTGAGAAATGCGCAAATATATCTAGAACTTTACGTGGGGAGTTGCACATGAATGGAAACAATCTACCAAATATAAATGGGCTCAACAACTGCAAATTCTTGCAACAATAAAGAGTATGACAGTATATTGCAAAGTAGCTGATCCTGTTTGTCTTTTCACCGTGACGCTGCAAAACTAAAATGCTAAACCGAGCCATCAAACATGGGAACTCAAACAAATGGCCACCACTGTTTATAATTACAACAATGATAATTTTTGTGACGAAGAGCTGTACTCTTGGGTAGATGTTAATAACGTTTTAAATGAAGTAAGTATGTTAACTTCATGTAAACAATGCTTGTTAACTAAATACACAGACAGAGAGAACCATCATGAAATCAAAGTTTATGAATTGATCCTTCTTTGTTCTGATTCTTCATAAATAGACATGGGGGTGAAAGTGGATTGAATTTTTGGGTTGAACAATAACCCTGATTACCAGTTGTGGAAGGTTGAAAGTCCCAGATTATTAAATAATAAACACAAGTCACTTGTGCTTTATTAAGAAGGATACAGTGTTGAGTGAAGAAACACACATTGCAACACAAACCATACAGCACTGCCACATTCAACATATCCAACCGCTATATATTCAAGCTGCTGATGGTGACAAGGACTCAACTACCTACATTACCACATGGCCCAGCAAAGACCCCAAAACCTACAAAAATCATAATCAAATGCACATTTTCACAGGTATTATGTTCATGAGGAAGAGTTACCACAAACTGTCTATTTCAGTAGTTTTAATTTGATTCCATACACTGATTAGATTAAAAGCCCTTCCCACAGAAACAGAGACATGTATCTGTATACAGATTGAAAACTTATGAAAACAGATTGAAATGTTTTTGCTGTCAAGCAACAATTAATATAAAAGTTTAGGACAGACGCATCAAAATCACAAATGGACATTTGAATAAAATAAATCATGTTAATTCTGGCTGTGCAGTTTTTGTGCCTTAAAAGTGTCAGATTGATTTACAGGCATATAAATAATTACAAAACATGTTTCCACATCCTCCTAACGTTACTCATCCTCTCTATCTTTGGCTCATTACTTTCATTCTTAATTTGATTTTTATGAGCTGTCTGTGTGCTAACATGATGGTTTTTAATTTGAAATGGATATAAACCGACTTAGACTCGGTTCAACCAGATGCCACAGTAGTCTATTCTCTGCCAATGCCCGTCAGGATTTATTCTGATGTATAGCTCACAAGAGGTTGAAAGAAATCCACTTGCCCAACACAAGGCTTTTACAGTGGAACATTAATTCCCTCTCCCTGGATGCCAACAAAAGGCCACACAATGAGTCTGTATCCCACTGCCACTGACAGGTCCACAGTATCTAAACTTGATGTTCCTTTTCATGAATCAAGGAGGGAAAGACTTATCAGGAAAATTAACAGAAAAAGAAAAACAGATCATGAGTTTTTTTGTTCAACTGATCTATGATATCAAGCTATATGACAAATTTTTTTTCAAAGCAAAAATCTGGAAAATAAAAAAAATAAAAATTACGATGGTAATTAATTCTCAGCTCATCACATACTGACTCTTTATTCAGGGCTCTATTCTGACAGTTTTAAGGGTTGTGTCCTCCTCATTGTTTAACTCCAGTGATGTGAAGTTTCTGTAAAGTCCAGTGTGCTGCAGCGTCCAATCAGTGAGCGATATTAAATGCAGGGGGCGTGACAGACAGTGAGAAGACTCCTGCAAAGGCTGCTCTTGTGTATCCTTGCTTATCTCTCCTCTGATTTCCCTCCTCTCTCCTCACTCCTCTCTCCTTCGAGCCACGTTAAGAGCTCTGTAATGATACTTAGCATGGCAGGTCTGTAAGTACTTCCAGTCCTGCTTCATCTTCTGTGTCTTTAAGTCATTTATGCAGTGTCTAACTGTGTGTGTGTGTGTGTTCATAGGTCCATCAATTGGGACTGATAATTCATATTACACCCAAACAGACTTATAAAAGGGCTTAATCCAACCTCTCCATGTGGGCACGCCTGAACTCACTCACTTCAGACCCTGAGTTTCAGTTTGTTTAAATAGGTTATGAAATCTTTTAAAAATACACAATAGCAGTTTTTATGGTAAACAAAGGGTGTGATGCAGAAATGAATTAAGGTTGTGCCTTTGCAGAAATAGCGCAGATTTAGAAGCCACAGCGCATATGAGGGTTTTTTTTTTCTGCTCAGTCATTCAGTAAGTGTGAGGTCTGTTCAGGGACTTCAGTAATGGTGTGTGTGTGTGTGTGTGTGTGTGTGTGTGTGTGTGTGTGTGTGTGTGTGTGTGTGTGTGTGTGTTTGTATTCTAGCCTGTAATTTTCTCTTTCTATGTCCTGTTGCTCTGCCGGACCAACAGTGTGATTGGTTTAAGACTGATGTGTTTAAACCTGATTGGCTGGATGTTTACACCTTTGAGGGAGGTTAAGTGGCTAATTAACTGAGGGGGCGGGAGCTGGGAGTTGATTGATAGGACAACTGATTACTAGATTGTGTTTTAGTTTATGAGTGTGGTGGTGGACTGTTTCACATAAACTCCTGGATTCAAGTTTCAGTCCTCTCCTCTACCACATTTTCTGCTGCAGAAAACATGATGTGAAAATCAACTGCAGGAACAATGAAAAGTCATGCTACCATATATTACGATGCTGGTCAAAGGCGAGCCTAAAACAGCAGTGTGACATTTGGTGGAGGAGTGCTGACCTTCTCTGCAGTGGGCTGTGGTTGGTCTGATCCAGAGACCTCAAGGCCTCAGTTGTGAGGCTCTAGCTCCAGCCCTGTGGGCTTACATAGACACTGACTTGACCACACTGTCACCACACCCTGAAAATCCACTGGTTCCTCCATAAGGGTTCACTGCTTTAGGGTTAAGGCACTGTAAATTTGTTGATCGTATGAAGAACTACAGAAATGAGACAATTACTTGTTTGACTATAAAATTAGTAGTACTGGTCATACACACACAGAATCACCAATCACACCAATACTACAGCTTGGGCATCTTTCTGCAGAGAGAAAACTGACGGGGCTTCCTGTGCTTGTTATTGAGGTTTTGCCATCAGATAGATCTTGTGCCTTCTAATTCTGCTAACATACATTTGTATATTTATCCTATCTTACATATTAAGTAGTCCTCAAAAGGTTTTATAGGTAGGGAGACCAGGTCAGAGAAGTAACTAGAGGAGGCTTTCTCAGAGATCAGAGATATCATTGATTACAGCAAATCTTTATTGTTATTTCAACAAGAATGACAGATTTAGTTAGTTATTATATTGTGCCGCTGTCAGCTCTTCAGAGTACAATCCTGAATGCTTTAATGTTCTTTCGAGCGCAAGTAAAAACAAATCTGTAAATGTACAAATAAGTGAATCAATAGCTATTGTTGGGTGCAGTTCATATAGACCAAAACATGTATAGAAATCTGAAGGGGCCACTTCTTGTTATGACTGGGCTCACAGACGTAAAACAATCTAAACTGTATTCTCCCTTTAACCATCATGCCCACGATATTTCCAAAGCCTGGCAATATTTAAAGCAATGCCATCATGATCATTTTCAATGGCTCCAATGGAGTTTGATTTTGGTGATCGAAGACTTTTCATGGGATCAGAAATAAAGACGTGAATTTGGAGAGACTCATTCAGCAATGTTGCCTACTATTTGGACTTTAAAAAACAGTATATTGGTCCAATTTTCCAATCTGAATGCAATGTCCCATTTAAAGCTGAGGACATACTTCAATGTTATATCCTCGTCCTCAATCTTAGGCTGAAAGGAGTGATGCTCAGACCACAGACAGATGTTTAATTTATAAATAAGGTCCTCTCGCCGTCATGTTTCACACAGTGGTTAAAAATGGTCTGAAAATCCTACAATAATCCAGGTTAGCTGCAATCTATCTTCAAAATGATATTTTATTGTGTGATGAATAAGTAAGGGTCTGAAAATAAAAAAATAAAGGAACAGACAGGGCGCAAGTCATTTTTGTTTTCCCAGCTTAAACTTAACAATATGCCAAAGGTTCAAGGGAGGGACACCATTTACAACCCCTGAACCTTTTAAGATGTGTTTACATAATTTTCTTTCTGTAATGTAAATTAATACATATGTTAAGTCATTTTATAAACATTATTGGTATTTACTTTGGCAGACATTATCAGAAGTGTTTGTTCGGCATATTAAAATGATAGATTCGTTTATTACTTTTAAAGATCTTGGACTAGCAGCTTCTTCTTCAGCTTGCAAATAATGACTGCAAGTGCACGCATCTGTGTATTGTCAGATTGGCCAGTGATATTGCAAATTTTTGTTATCAACAAT